CCTTATAGGCATGAAACTAGAGTTGGATCCCTGGCAACAAAACATGCCAAGTGCAATCGCAGGGGCCATTTGTGATCTCGAATCTCTAGAGCACCACAACATATGCAAGCACCAAAGGAATAAAAAAAGCCTGTGGCCCCCATCAAGCACATCTAAAAAGTGTATAAGCATAGCAACCAAATGTATACAACACTCAGTCATCACAGCAACAATAAAGGGGGAAATTAAAAATAGATCTAACATTTAATGGAATAGGTCCACATCTGGGTAAGAGGATAAGAAAATAAATGCTGAAGAGATATATGCACGTCCATGTTTATTGTATTATCATCCATAGTAGCCAAAATATGGAATCAATCTTTGTGCCCAACAACTAATGAAATGCAATGGAATATAATAGAATATTTCTCAGCCCTGAGAAAGATCATCCTGACATTTTGTAATAATATGGATGAACCTTGAGCACATTATGCTAAGTGAGGCAAGTCAAACATATAGAGAGACAAGTACTATGTGATATTACTCATATGTGGAATCTGAACAAGTAACACTAAACAACAGCATGTTTTTCATAAAAAATCATGAAGGATGATATGAAGTGTTAACTTTTTCAAGTCCTGAAAGTAAAAAATTGTAAAGGCAGAGTACTATATTCAGCTAAAATGTTCTTTAAAAATGATGCCTTGCACATGGCCAACCCAGATTAGACTGTCTACACTACATATGGTTCCTGGAATACTGCCAACAGTGATTCCTGGGCACAAAATTAGGAATAAGTCCTGAGCACAGCTAGGTGTGGTCCAAAACAGGAAAAAACAAGCAGGGGTAGGGGATCAAGAAGTACTTACTCACATGAAAAAACTCAAGAGAATTAGTTGTCAACTGACCTGTCCTAAAATAATGGCTGTAGGAAGTTCACTAAGGAAAGAAAAATGATAAGAGGCTAGAGAGATATTTAAGTGGGTAGGATGCTTGCCTTGCATGTGGCCTGAACCGGGTTCGATCCTCAGCAACCCACATGGTCCCCTGAGCCCCACCAGGAGTAATTTCTGAGTACAAAACCAGGAGTGCAAAACCTGAGCATCACTGGGCGTAGCCCCCCCCCCAAAAAAAACAAATAAACAAGAAATGATAAAGGTAGGAGTGCTGAAACTTTAATGAAGAAATGGAACAAAAAAGATATCTTTTGCAAAAGATTCAAAAAAGATTTCAAAAAAAGATTGTCCTCTTAAGTTTTCTAACTTTAGTGATGACTGAAGAAAAACATTAATACACTGTTTGATGATGAGATAGTATCAGGGGTAAAGGTGTTTGCCTTGTACATGGCCAACCTCAGTATGATCCCTGGAACCATACAGTGTCCTGAGCACCTCCAACAGTGATCCCTAAGCACAGAGCCCTATGCATAACTACTGGGTGAAGCCCTACAAATATACATTCATATATTATATAAATTATAAAAGTTATATATTATGTAAGTAAAAATATTATATAGATATGTACATATAAATTCAGGAAAGAACTATTTAATCAAAATGGTAAAATTATGACACAAGAAGACCGACCACTATGAAATTATACAAATATACACTACAAAAAAAACATTATAAGCTGAAGCAAAATTTTTATAATAAGTAAAACTGGCCCATAAAAAATGCAGAAAAATCAGAAACAAAGGCCAGGGAGATAGTCAAAAGGGGCTGGGCTAGGCCTGAAATGTAATAGGTCTGGGTTCAACTGAAAACTACTAATCACACAACAGTATTAGACAACACAGTTGTTTTTGTTTTGTTTTGTTTTGGGGACACACATGCCTGTGCTAAGGGTTTCCTCTTGTCTCTGGACTCAGAGGTCACTCCTAATAGGCTAAGGGATTATAGGGGTGCCTGGGATTTAACCCAGATTGGCCTAGTGGAAGGTAAACGCTCTCTAGCTGATATACTATTGCTCTGCCCCCATCCTCCAGGCAATTATCATAATGTGCTTACAAACTGCCTCACCAAAAACAAGGATTAAATTTATATTCTAATTTATGCAAATTACCAAATCGCAAGGAAAAAAGGCTCAATAGCATTAGTGTATTTAAACCAGTAAAAGTTAAAACTCAAGGGAGTATGAGTGATAGTACAGTGGGTAAGGCATTTGCCTTATATGACACAAGTTCAATCCCCAGCACTCCATATGGCCTGGGTAGCTGGCCAGTATTAAGACATGAGCACCAGGTGTGAATCAAAAATGAAATAGTTAAAATAAAAGTTTACTCAAGTAACTGTCCCCACGATCCATGACATATATATATATATATACACACACACATATATATGTATATTTCCGTGATATATATATTCATATGGGCTGGAGCGATAGCACAGTGGGTAGGCATTTGCCTTGTACCCAGCCAACATGGCCGACCCGAGCTTGATTCCTCCACCCCTCTCGGAGAGCCTGGCAAGCTACCAAGAGTATCTTGGCTGCACAGCAAAGCCTGACAAGCTACCCATGATGTGTTCCATATGCCAAACACAGTAACAACAAAGTCTCACAACGGAGACGTTACTGGACCCGCTCGAGCAAATCGATGAACAACGGGAGGACCGTGACCATATAGGACCGTGACCATATATATTCATACATATATATATGAATTTGAACCAGAAACATATTTTTGCACATGTTTAGGGGGGCTGGACTTGCTAGTAGCACTGTCCTGTTGTTCATCGTTTTGCTCGAGCGGGCACCAGTAACATCTTCATTTTGGGACTTGTTACTGTTTTTGGCATATCGAATATGCCATGGGGAGATTGCCAGCCTCTGCCGTGTAGGCGGGATACTCTCGGTAGCTTGCTGGGCTCTCCGAGAGGGACAGAGGAATCAAACACAGGTTGGCCGCATGGAAGGCAAAAAGCCTTACCCGCTGTGCTATCACTCCAACCTGGACTTGCTATTAAGCCAAAATAAACACCTCAACATTCATATTTCAGCTCTCACCTTGTCCATCAGCTGTGTAAAAAATTAGACTAATTACTCAGTTAATAAAACTATTTCACACACATAATTTTTAAAGGACGAACAGTATGAAATGTATTCCTTACAGTAATTTAGACATATGCTTTTGTAACTTTCTGTACTCACACCATCCCTTTGTAAATTTTCCTGGATTACAGGTTTTAAATACCTAACAATAATACCCATACTGTGCTCTAGTGAACTCCTCTAGCCTTTAATCCTTTGTCTGGTTCATGATTATCTTAGAATCTGAACACTTTTCTAGATAGTTTAATACCATTTATATTGTAAAATACTTATTACAGTATTATTACAGCATATCTCAGTCATCTTTTCAATACACTAACCCCACATTTTCATCTTGAAAGGCTGCATCTACATGTGTTATGTGCATATTCATATGTATATTTGTAAATAAATATGTATATTTATTTCTTCCAAATGTAGTTTGAGCCTTTCAATTACTGATAGTTCAGAGGAACATCAACACCATACATACATCATGTCCTGTGCTATAGTACTTTAAAGTCTAGGATTCAAATTTCTACAGCAGAGATGCTTTTTTTTAACTTTTTAATTTTTAAAAACTTTTTTGTTTTGTTTTGTTTTTTTTGTTTTCTGGGTCACACCTGGCAATTCACAGGGGTTACTCCTGGCTCTTCACTCAGGAATTACTCGTGGCAGTGCTCAGGGGACCATATGGAATGCTGGGAGTCGAACCCGGGTCAGCCATGTGCAAGGCAAACGCCCTACCCACTGTGCTATTGCTCCAGCCCCTTAAAAACTTTTTAAAAATCCTCTAACAGATTTATCACTAAAGAGGACATAAGAGTGGACGATGAACAAATGAAAATGTGTCATAGAATAATGAGAAAAATATAAATTAAAATTATACTTGATATGATTATGTACCTATTAGAATGGTTATATTAAAAATACAATATCAAGTACTGTTACATATAAGAAACAAATGCAAATGTCACAGTTTTGGTGGGATGTCAAAATTATACAATGGCTTTGTCAAATAATAATGGTTACTGCTTTGATGTTTTTGGGGGATTTAGAAGTCATACCTAGAGATACTCAGGGTTTTTCCTAGGAGGGCTCAAGAAACACTCCTGGCAGAGCTCGAAGACCAACTGAGGTATGAGGCATTTAACCCATTTTGGCTACATTCAAGAACTATACCTATTGTACTGTCTCTCTGGTGCCAAAAATATTAGTGCTATGTATTATAAGATCATATTATTTCCACGAAACCCAGTAACTACATTCATTCATGGATTTTCATTTCAGTTAGATAATATATATGGGTCACAAGAAATTTAAACATGAATTTTTATAGTAGCTTCACTTTTAATTACAAAATCTAAAATAAAAGTCTTGCGTGTGGAAATGGATAAACTGTGATACATAAATAAAATGGAAAACTAAACAATAAAAAGGAACACATTATAGAAATACACCACAAATGAACTAATCTCAAATGCAATAGTATTATTTCTGTAGTTTGTTTTGTTTTGGGGTCAACACAAAGAATGTTCAGGACTTACTCTTGATTCTGAGGTCAGGAATCATTCCTAGCAGGGCTCAGGGAATCAAATTAGTGATAAGAATCAAATCTGAGTCAGCAGCACACAAAGCATGCACCTTACCCATCTTGCTATCTTCTTCAACCCCCAAAATAGTGTTTTCTAAGTGAACTTTTTGAATGGTAATTAAAATCATTTTATGTATTCAGTTGTCAAATTTTATAGACATGTGCACTAAAAAGTGAATTTTATGGTATACAAACCCTTAATGATTTAAAAAACTTCCTGTCCATACAGATAAGGGCAGGGGAGAACAAGGAATATGGAAACACTGGTAGAGGGAAGTTGACACTGGTGGTGGGATTGGTGTTGAAATATCATATGCGTAAAACTCAACTATCAATAACTTAGTAAATTACTGTTAATTAAATAAAAATTATTTTAAAAACAAAATTTTCCCACCTCACATTAGTTTCATCATTAAATTCTTCAGCCCATTTTTTCCTTGACTGTGCAGTAGTTGATCCATCCAAGCGGTAATAGTCAATGTTTCGGAGCCACTTCCCTTCACCTGAAAATTTAACAAGAAAAAACATACTTGATATTTGATGGATATTCTGCTGAGAGTAACAGATTTTCTTCCTTGATCATTATTTGAATGGTTATATATGTGCATTCTATTTGCCTATAAAATTTAATCATGCTGTAAACTCACTGTATTTCCTTTCAATACACGATCACGATCACGATCCTCCCGTTATTCATCGATTTGCTCGAGCGGGCCCAGTAACATCTCCATCGTAAGACTTGTTGTTACTGTGTTTGGCATATCAAATACGTCACGGGTAGCTTGCCAGGCTTTGCCGTGCGGGCGAGATACTCTCGGTAGCTTGCCGGGCTCTCCGAGAGGGGCGGAGAAATCGAACTCGGGTCAGCCATGTTGGCTGCGTGCAAGGCAAACACCTACCCGCTGTGCTATCGCTCCAGCCCTTTTAATACACAATGAGTAATAAAAGCATATTAAAAAGAAATTTAAAAGTAAAGGGATATACATGATAATCTATCAGTATCTGTACTGCAAACCATGATACCCAAGAGGAAAGAGAGAGAGAAAGAGAGAGAGAGAGAGAGAGAGAGAGAGAGAGAGAGAGAAAAGTGCCTGCCACAGAGATGGCTGGGGATGGGGGCAGAGGAGAGGGCAGGAGGAAAAGGAGACACTGGTGGTGAGAAATGAACACTGATGAAGGGACAAGTGTTATAACATTATATGACTGAAATCCAATTGTCAACAATTTTGTTTGTAACTGTGTATCTCACTGTGATTTAATTAAAAATTGATCTACAATAATGCCAAATCCTTGGCCCCAGATTCCCAAATTGATAGTAATAAGCATGGGGGCAGAGGAAAAATGAAAAGGTGGGCTAGAAGTAATATAAGGACAGTGATGAAAGGTACTGGTCACTCTAGTAGTGGTGAGGTGCATCAAGACCACAAATGTTAACACTATTCTAAAGATGTTACCTTACCTACAATAACAATGAAATTTAATTACTTTGAGGGTGTTTTAGGTCCACACCCCACGATGCTCAGGTATTACTCCTAACACTATACTCACTAATCACTCCTGGAGGTGCACACAGGATGCTGGGAATCGAACCCAGGTTGGCAGTGTGAAGGCAAGTGCCTTACCTGCTGTTCGATGTTTCTGGCCCCCAAATTAATTATTTTTAAAAAGGAATATTATCTATGTGTGAATTTTTAAAAAAGAGTTTCTTATTTACTTATGATCCTTTACATTTCCCAAGAGAATATGATTAAACTGCATTTTGCTCAGTAAGTTTTCATTCTTTTGTTACTGTTTTGCACCATACCCAACAGTGTGCAGGACTTCAATAAGTACTTTAGCAGACTATATCTTTTGTTTCTATGGGGCTGGGAATTGAACCCAGGTCAACCATGTGCAAGGCAAGCATCCTAACAACTCTACTATCATTCCAGACACTCAAGAATCTTGCTTTTAATTAAATCTGTAAATAGTCAGATTTTCCTTTCCTATACCAATAGCGCAGAGGGTAGGGCGTTTGCCTTGCATGTGGCCAACCCAGGTTCGATTCCTCCATCCCTCTTGGAGAGCCTAGCAAGCTATTGAGAGTATCCTGCCCGCACGGCAGAGTCTGTCAAGCTCCGCGTGGTCTATCCGATATGCCAGAAACAGTAACAAGTCTCACAATGGAGATGTAACTGGAGCCCGCTCGAAAAAATAGATAAACAATAGGGCATTGCTATATTGCTATTAATAATTTGATACTAATCAGATAAAATCTGAGATAAGAACGCACTGAACAAATAGACCAAAGCCAAAGACAAATGCTTTCACCACTAATAAAAGTATATGTTCCTATAAAATGATAATTATGTTTATATATGTTATGTTATATATGTTTGTGTTATATATGCATGTGTATCTAAGTATTAGAAGCAAAGGACTATAATTTCATATGTTAATAACACATATCACCTTTCAGAAAGTGAGGTGAAATTTAGTAGGCATATGAGAAAACTTATGATTAGAGCATCACTCTCCAACCAAAATTTAAAAAAAAAAGAAAAAAAAACAGAGAACACCCAAATAATGGTAACATATTATCTTGCCAGTTAACTATGGAGTCACCTGACTACTCTGTCTATCAGCTCGTTCCTGGATTATTGAAATAGTATCTGCTTGACGTGCTCCTATTTTGCTTCCCATTAACTGATTTAACATAGCATCCCAACAGACTCCCTTTAAACCAGGAAACAGCACTCCTCCTTCAAGACTTTAGGTAAATCACAAAGTTTTTATGACGGCCTGCAAAGACCTTTAATCACTTTTCCCCATTTTCCTTTTCACTTACATAACAACAGCAAATAAAATCTTGCAATTCTTTAAACATTATAAGCATGTGATGAAAGCACATCTCACTGCATTTGCCCTTGTTTTCTATGCTTGAAAAGGTTTGTTCTCTTTGGGTAGAGAATGAGCACTGGTGGAAGGATGGGCATTCAATCATTGTATGACTGAAACGTAATCACGAAAGTTTGTAAGTCTGTAACTATATCTCAAGGTGATTAATTTAAAAATATGTATAAAAATTTTAAAGCACACACAAAGAAAATGTTTGTTCTCCAGGTACCTGCATTTAAAATTTGAAGGGATTCACACTCCCTTCAGACTCCAGAAAAGTTTTGGTTGATCATTCAACATACTGTTCTCCAAAATACCCTATTATCTTAATACTATTTCTTATTTTTTATGTCACTTTATTATTGTATAATAATGACATTATTTGCATGCTTAATATTCCCCAGTAAAATGTACCTATATACTTAGAGGTTAGGAATAATTTTACTTTACCTTATTAAGTAGTGGAATGTGTTTCACACATTGTAGATTCCCTATATTTACAAAATGAAATGGAACCTGAAATGCTGCTGATTCTATAAACATTAAATTTAGGAGCTTATTTACGATAAGCTTTTACCAACAATCTTGACCCAAGGTATTAATATTCCATGCCAGACTTCAGTTTGGATAAGTAAGGGCCTGGGAATATACCTAAAAGGGCTGAGTGCATGCTTTGTATGCAGAAGGCTCACGTTCAATCAGTAACATATAACATGGTTATTGTCAGGAGTGACCCCAAGCACATAATGATTTACAGGACAGGACTATGTAAAACTAAAATAGCACTGTAGCACTGTCCTCCCGTTGTTCATCGATTTTCTCGAGCAGGCACCAGTAACGTCTCCATTGTGAGACTTGTTACTGTTTTTGGCATATAGAATACATCATGGTTAGCTTGCCACGCTTTGCCATGGGGGCATGATAATCTCGGTAGTTTGCCATTCTCTCCGACATGTGCAGAGGAATCGAACCAGGGAAGGCCTGGGTTGACTACGTGCCAGGGAAGGACCCTACGCGCTATGCTATCGCTCCAACCCACAGCTAAAATCGCTGTATCACTGTCCTCCTGTTCATCGATTTGCTCGAGCGGTCCCAGTAACATTGTGAGACTTATTACTGTGTTTGGCATATGGAATATGTCATGGGTAGCTTGCCAGGCTTTGCCGTGCGGGCGAGATACTCTTGGTAGCTTGCTGGGCTCTCCAAGAGGTGCGGAGGAATCAAACTCGGGTCGGCCATCTTGGCCCAACCACTGTGCTATGGCTCCAGCCCACAACTAAAATAAATAAATATAAATTATGAATATGTTATAAATATTATATAATTAGAATAGTTATATACTACATGTTATTAATACATAATCACTTGATCACTTGACATCCCTTTACTCATCGATTTGCTATAGCAGGCACCAGTAACATCTCCATTCAATCCTGTCACATGCTAGTGTAGCCCAATGGCGTCTGCTCGCTCCAGGAACACAAAGAGCCTCAAACCGATCGTTCAGGGTACTGACGAAGAAGTCTGACTATCTCGTAGGTGGGCAGCCACACAATCTTTTGATGTCCCATGGAATCCAGTCGGTAATGGCTCTAGTTGAGCAGTCATCTCCAAATCGCATTTACGTGTCCAGCCCATCTGATTTTTAATGCCTTGGCAAATGAGACAACATCCCTCCTTCCTGATCGTTGACAGAGGTCAGCACTCCAGATTCTTTCTCTCACTTGAGTGAAGCGTGATACTCCAAGCATAGCTCTTTCGATTCCTTTTTGGGAGACCCAAACAGCGTTCTCATCCTGTTTTCATAGGGCCCAGGTCTCTGAGGTATATGTTAATACAAGAAGAACAGTGGAATCGAAGAGATGTTCCCGGAGCCAAAGGTTCTTCATCCTCTGAGCTATTTCTTCAATGCTCTTGAAGGCGTTCCAAGCTGCTCTCTTCCTTCTGCATAACTCAGGTGCCAGGTCATTCATCATGTTGACTTCTCGACCTAGATACACATAACTGTTGCATTTGGAGAGGATCGTTCCATTGAGAGCGAATGGAACATCAGGAATGAGTCCATTTCTCATACACATTGTCTTCGTGAGATCAGCTATAGTCCTACCTTTCCACACTCACAGTTGAAGTTGGCCAGCATTTGTGCCCCTTGGCTAATGTTTGGTGTTATTAGAAGGATGTCATCAGCAAAGCGGAGGTGGTGTAGTTGCCGACCATCTATCTTCACTCCAATTCCTTCCTATTCCAGTCATCACATAACATTCTTGAGGGTGGCACTAAAGTGTTTCGGTGAAATGGTATCATCCTGCCAAACCCCTCTCTTGACATGGATGATCACTTCCTTGTAGAATGGTGAGATCCTGGTAGTGAATCCATAATACAGCTCACAGAGGATCCTGACGTATTGAGTTTGAACGCCCTGTTTGGCTGGGGCCTCGATGACCACTTCAGTCTCAACAGAATCAAAAGCCTTCTTTAAATCAATGAATGTTAGAGCAGCATCTCGAACTCCCAAGAAACCTCAATGAGCTTGGTTACAATGTGAATATGGTCAATTGTACTGAATCCTTTTTGGAACCCAGCTTGCTCGCATGGTTGTTCTTCATCTAGTGGTCTGCCAATCCTATTCAGGATGACTCGAGTGAACAGCTTGTAAACGACAGACAACAAGCAGATCGGGCAATAGTTGCCAATGTTGTGGATGCCTCCCTTCTTGAACAGTAGAACAATCTTGCTGGTTTTTCATTGAGACGGAACATTGCATTCAGACAGGTAGCGTGTGAAGAGCCGAGCCAGTGTATTGACAAGAACTGACGGCAGGTTCTTCAGGTGTTTGGGTCTGACCTTGTCTGGGCCAGGTTCTATTCACGTCTTTACAGACGAAATGGTATGTCAGATTTCGGAAGGGAGAACATTGTGAACGACATATCCATCCTGCAGAATTTGGTATGTGGGCAAATAAATAGACGTGGCTATCGAAGAGATCCGAGTAGAAGTCATGGATAATCTTCTCCACTGCCCTTCTAGAAGATGTGATAGATCCATCAGGACATTGGAGGGCAGTCATCTTGGTCTTGTAGTTGGCAAGGGACAGGCAGGCATTGTGAATGCTTTTCCCATCTTCTGCCACATCTGCGAGCACTGCTGCTCTTCTCTCTTTGAGGTCTTCCTTTATCGCTTCTCTGCACTGCTTTGTGAGCTAGGACGTTCACTTGTGGTTGCCTGAGGCTCACGCCAAGCCACATTAGCGAATGAGCTCAGCGAGTTTTCGAAGACAAGCGTCTTTTTGTGGCTATCTTTCTCTCAGCGTTCCTCACATAATCATGGAGATGCTGAACCAGTTGATCATATTCCTCGTCAATGTTGTCAACGACGGCATCTTCCCATGTTGCAGCAATAGTGCCAAAGAGCTCCCAGTTGGTGGTCATTCTGGGATTTCTCCTCTTAAACTTTGAAGCCCTTTCTCCCCGCTCTGTGAAGTAGAATTTTACACGAAGGAGACGGTGGTCTGATCCCATTTGGAATTTTGGACAACACCAACATTGGTCAGGCAAAACCATCAATTGGATATGATGTGGTCAATTTCATTGTGGAAACGTCCACTGGGAGACTCCCATGTCCAACATTTAGATTCAGCCTTCTGGAACTGTAAGTTACCATGGATGGTCTTGGTCGATATGATGAACTTAGACAATCTCTCTCCCAGCTTTTCCATTCTACACCATTGGTTCTGATGTGGAGTTCTTCGGCTGATCTTTTCAGTCCTATCTTGGCATTGATATCACCGACAATGAATGATCTTGTAGAAGGTGTGGTCTTCTTTATAGAACTTCTCCAGCTCCATGTAGAACTTCTCAATTTCTTCTTCATCAGAACTGGATGTTGTTCCGTAGACAATGAAGATAGAAACTGCAGGCAGTGTGCCACATCTATTCAAGTGTAATCATCCAATTCAGGGTGTTAGGCATTGGAATGAATCAATGTTCATGGCCAAGTTCGTGTTGACAAGGACACCACCGATGCTACCTCCAGTACCCAGCTGTCGCCATGCTCCTGGCTGCTTTGTGGACACTCAGGCCAAGACTCACACACAAGTGAAGCCCCACAGAACCAGGTAAGCAGAACTTTTTGACCTTGGATTCCAGGCTCAATGAGATCTAGAAACAGAGATCCTCTGACTGCTCCCACCAATCTCTGGGGACCCAGGGATCAGACCCAGAAGCCCCACCCTGCCCTACCCTGCCTGCTCCCACCAATCTCTGTCAACCCAGGGATCACACCCAGAAGTCCCACCCTACAGGTGCCAGATAAATACCTCATCAGCAGACCTCCATTACCCAGACACTGCGAAGTTCAAGGTCGATTTTAAGACCGCCACTTAATATCCATCTTCCAAGATTACTGTACCATATTTGATGGGGTTCACATATGGTTTGAACCATGGCAACACTTGCAAGGGCGATCAGAAACCACCCTAAAAGCCTCTCTCCCTCTCGGAGAGCCTGGCAAGCTACCGAGAGTACACCGTCTGCACGGCAGAGCCTGGCAAGCTATCTATGGCATATTAGATATGCCAAAAACAGTAAATTAATACATAATAGTTACTTATATTAGTAATTAGTATATTATTAATATATTTATATTAGTGGAACTGGGTAGTGTTTACTTTTATGTAATATACTTGTTACTATTTTAAAACCTATGATATCAAGATAATTGTAACTTACCTTTATAAATAAGGGGTTTATCTTTATCTTCTGTCTTTTCCCTACTAGCTAGTTCAAGAAAATCTTCAATCAAGTCCAGGGATAGGAGAGACTGGCTAAAAACAAGGCTGAAAATAAAAAAGATTAGGATTCATGAATTGTAAGATTCAATAAAGAGTCACTTATTCCAAAACTGACCTACAAAATCAACATCATTCAAATGAAAATCTCAGTAGCATTTTTGTAGAAATTAACAAGTTGAGTCTAAAGTTTATAAGGGAATTCTAAACACAAAATAGCCAAAACAATTCTGAAAAAGAAGAGTTGGAAGCTTAATCACAAGATTGCAAAAACATGGAAAATTAGAGTCATCAAAAACATTGTAGTATTTGCAAAAGGACAAGTAAAAATCAGTCACAGATAGAGAGTCACAAAATACAACTACTTCATTCTGCAAAGGGAGAAAGGCAATTCAATGATAAATGAATAGTCTTGGTACAATTAAACATCTATACACAAACAGAAGGAATTCTGGCCTGACCTTCATACTTTACAAATAAGTAAACATATTACACACTGGAAATGAAAAATATCCTACAAATATCATCCTAGCAATAGAAGAGGAATCTCCCTTATATAGGAAAATATTAGGTAAGTATACAAGGATCTAGAGACACCTGTGACTAGAACTATTATTTTGTTTTGATTCGGTAAACTGTACTGGAAGACAGGCAGGAGCTTATACCTTCTTACAATACTTAAAAACTCATTGATACCTATTTTCAAATTTAGTAGAACTAAAGAAAACAAATGAAATTATGTTTGTCTTTGTCTTTTGGTTGTTTGTTTGCTTTTAGGCTACATATGATGGTGGTCAGGGATTGCTCCTGGTGGTGTTTAATGGACCATGCAATGCCAGAAATTGAATCGAGTCCTCTTCAAGTAAAGCATGTGCTTAGCATATTAAGCTATCTCTCTGGGTCCAAATGAAGTTGTGAAATAGGTACGGGACCTAATCACAGAAACTGTATGAATTACTAAGCCCTGTTCTACGGGACTCTTTCATAGTTTGTGTAGCCTTAGAACACTGGTAAAGACTCCTGATTAGTGCTCAGTATGTCCCAGGGTTATGCCTTGACCCCTCGGTACTATTGGTAATATTTCTCAGCAAAGGGGTTAAGGTCTTAACATTCTATTCATCCTGATTCGACCCACAACACTACATACCCATGAGTGATCCCTGAGCACAGAGCCAGGAATAAGCAAGCTCTGAGCACCACGAGGTATGATCAGAATCCCATGTATTAACTATATTGGTTTTACCTTTCATTAATGAAAACAACCAGTGGATATTTTATTACATTCACACAAAAAATCAGAAATAAAGAATCTATTAAAATTTAGTCATTGGGGCTGAGTACAGCAGATAGGACATTTGCCTTGCATGTGATCATACTGGACTCAATTCCCCAATACTAAGCATCTCATATGGTTCCCTGAGTACCACCTGAAGTGATTCCTGAGTGTAGAACCAGCAGTAAGCCCTCAGCACCATTAGGTGTAGCCCAACAACAACATAATAGTCTTTACTGATACAAAATCAAAATGGCTCAGCTGAGAGTGGTATAAGGCTGTAATTAGCTTGATATCCTAATGCTGATGTTAATGATAATGATCCTAGACTTAACATCCAAGTGCTGATAATGAGAGTTCTATTATTAACATTTATCTACATACCACTGAACAAAAATTACTAAAATCAATTTACTTCATACCCTGCGAAATATCAAGTTTCCAATTTGAATTTAAAATAAATTGCAACAGGGGAAATTGGTGGAGGGCAGTGGACAACGTTGTGAAGGGATCATTTTTTGAAACAATCTACACCTGAAACATAGTCATGAGTACCTTTATGATTTCATGGTGAATAAATTGTAAAAAATTAAATAAACTGCACAAATGGCTAATAGGGGAATCTGACTGACAGCAGTTCTTCTAAAAAAATGAGTCTTAGTCAACTACAATTTAATATGAATAGTGCTAATCTATAATTAAAAACCTCATTCCCCCTCACGTGTATTGACGTACCATGATTTGCAATACTATTAATGATAGTTTCATGCATATATAATTTCAATACCACTCCCACTACTAGAGAGAGTGCCTGCTTCCCTCCACCAGTGTCCCAAGAAGTCTTCCCAATCCCCTCTCCTACCTCCAGCCCCAGGGTAAACCCAGTTCTATAGATCAAGTATCCAGTTTGGCCATTTGTTATTCTACGACTTAATATGTTTCTTTATATTCCACATGAGAGATCAATCTGTACCTGTCACTCTCTGGTTCATTTCACCCAGCATGATACTGTCTACTTCCATCCACATGTGCTGGATTGCAAGATTTGTATTTTTCCTATAATTAAGTAGTATTCCATTGTCTAAATATACCACAATTTATAATCTGCTCAACTGTTCTAGGACACTCAGGTTGTTTCAAGTTGATTTTAGCTACAATGAAAATAGAAACATAAACGTCTTTTTGAAATAGTGTTTTGGGCCTTTGAGAGATGCCAAGAACTGGAATCGCTAGGTCACATGTAAGCCCTTAGATTTTGGAGATGTGTCCATATTGTTTAAAAAATCTATCAGGTAATATGAATGAATGTCTAGGGTCTAGAACAGATAAATAACTGGCTTCACTAGAACTATGTTAATAAATCCTCAACTGAAGTGTTCTGTGCTGTCAGGAACTAAACCCAGGATCGATCTCACACATGCAAGGTAAAGTTTCTTCCACTGTTCTTCAACTCAAGTTTTGGAACTGTATTTTTTTTTTTTTTTGGCTTTTTGAGTCACACCCAGGGAGGCTCAGGGATTACTCCTGGCTCTGCACTCAGGAATCACTTCTGGTGGTGCTCAGGGAACCTTATGGGATACCAGGGACTGAATCCGTGTCGGCCATGTACAAGGCAAACACCTACCTGCTGTACTATCGCTCCGGCCCCCTTGGAACTGTATTTTGAGGTAAATGCCAAAAAACAAGAATACTTAAGATCATGTGATAAGAATTAAAATTATGTCATGCATGGACTACATGGATGAACTAAGCAGAAAAAGCTAAAACTGATGAGATAAACCCACCATTATGTGAGGAGAAGGCACTGGAAATACTACTGGTGATATTTACAACCTACTTGAAAAAGAATCAGGAAAATAAGATGAGTGGAAGGATAGATATGTAATAAAATATAGTAAAATCTAATATATAATCTAGGTAACAAATATATGCATTATTCACTATAAAACTATTCTGATTTTTGTTACATTTAATTTTTCTATAGTGAAATGCTGGTCAAGACTAATAGTAATATTCCTACTTAGTAAAACTACTAATAAATAATATCAGTATTCACAGTTCTGTAAATGTGTAGGCTTGTAGTCAACATTTACAGCATTTATCAAATAAGCTTAAAAATAAACTAAAAAATAAGTTATTTTAAGAATGTTTTAAAAGAATATATTCCATCATAGATGACAGGGTTAACAGCTAGATAGAATATAAACAAAAAAGATACATTTGCTAACATTTTGAGGTAGTCTACTATAACTAGCCTTCTAAAACGGCAGATAATCTACCAAGTGAGAGAACAGAATTACAGTGAACATGGGAGAAGAAATTTCTTTAACTGGTTAGGAAATTAAAAGACCACTAAAATCTCTTCTACATTCTTAAAATTCATATATCATACCCAAAAATAATTTACTGGGGGCAGGGAGGGGCACACTTGACTGTGCTCAAGAATCACTCCTGGGGGCTGGAACTATAGTAGAGTGAGTAGGGCATTTGCCTTGCACGCGGCCGACCCGGGTTCAAATCGCAGGATCCCATATGGTCCCCTGAGCACCGCCAGGAGTAATTCCTGAGTGCAAAGCCAGGAATAACCCCTGTGCATTGCCAGGTGTGACCCAAAAAGAAAAAAAAGTCACTCCTGGTGGTCCTCAAGGATCATATGAGATCAATCCAGGGTTAGCTATGTGCAAAGCAGCACCTTAACTACTGTTTTATCTTTTACTGCAATAAAAACTTATTTTAAACTACAGAATATGACAACAAAAAAACAATAGTCTCTTCTGGCCTTTAACACACCCTGTATTTAGAGATACTTGACTCAGTTAATGTATTTATTTAAATTTAGTCCTCCCACGCGACATATCATAAGACACCCCCTACCCATTCTCCATAAGAACCACACCACATTTGATGGGGATCAAATAGTAGGCAACAAATCATAGACGGAAATACATATATATATATATACATATATATACATATATACATAGTTTCAGACATATATACGAAAGCTCACGTCACTCAACCTTTAACAACATGTGATATTCTAAAGAATGTCTTAATGGCCCCTGCAAAAATAGAACAATCTTCACACTGTCTCCTCTATGGATACTTTCTTTGTAGCATTTTCCATAACAAACAATACAAAATATATTATTTCAGTTGTGCTTTGGGACAGGGATTGGGACTTGGGATGGAAACATCCTAAATTTGGTGGTGGGAAGGCGTAATGGTGGTGGGATTGGTGTTTGAATATTAACTGTAAACAAATATTGTGTACCACCGTATAAAATAAAAATTAAAATAAAGAAAGATATTTAGTCCTCTGCTTGTTTTATCCATATTAATAAGTAATACTATAATCCACTATCCACTTAGGCTGGAAACCTGGGGATCATCTTTTACTGCTCTCTCCTTAATGCTTTATGTTTAGTCTACCAAGTCTTGTTATTTCTACTCAAAAATTACCGTTTATCACCAGTGTCACTCCAAGCCAACATCATTCCCTACCTAAATCATTTGTTTCCCTGTTAATAATAATAATAATGTTAGTAATAAAGAGGAAAAATAGCTTCTACTGAGCAATTATTAAGAAACTGGTACGGTATTTAGTAATCATAAATGAAAGTGTTTCTTCACACAACTCAGGACTGTGTGAAAAAATTAGATATAGGTTTACAGGGTATTTTAAGAGTAGAGGTATAAGACCAGAACAGGACTAGTACAGTGGGTAGGGCATTTGCCTTGCATGTGGTCAAGCCGAGTTCAATCCCCAGCATCCCATATGGTCCCCCAAGCACTACCACAAGTAAGTCCTGAGTGCAGAGCCAGGAGTAACCCCTGAACACTGCTGGGTGTGACCCAAAAAGAACAAAACAAAAAAAGAGTAGAGGTATAATGGCCAGAGAGATACTATAGTGGGTAGGGCTTGTCTTGTACATGGCCAACCAGAGGTTGTCCTCAGCATACCAAATGATCACCTGTTCTTACCAGGAATGATTCCTAAGCTCAGAGGCAGGAATAAACCCTAAAGACAGCTGGGTGTGCCCCTCCCCAAAAAATGTGTAGGTATATATTGGGGCAGGAGAAATAATACAGGAGGTAGGGCAATTTCATTGCACGCTGCCAACCAGTGTTTGATCCCTGTATCCCATATGGTCCCCCAAACCCAACCAGGGGTAATTCCTGAGTACAGATCCAAGAGTTATCCTTCAGCATCACTGGGTATGACCCCACACAAAAATGAGTATAGGATATTAAAAGATGGTATAAAAAAACAGAAAAAGCTTTTTTCTTCATAAAACATTATTTCATTCTTCTCTTATGCCAAATTGCTATTAAAAGCACCACACATATTTAAAAATATTTTATGATTAGATGTTAGGAACCTAACACAGATTAAACAATAAAATTTGATTTTAAAAATCTTAGAAGTATGTTTTTCTGAATAGTAATTTGAAGGACTGAGAAGGGTTAGAGGGGGGTGCAAGGACAGTAATGGGATATAAATGCTAAATGCAAACAAACAAGAACAAGAAATGATGAAGAAAGAAATTCAATGGTAAGATAAAATCCGAGTAGCATCTAATAGATATGGAAATTAGAAAGTCATTTAAAGACTTTATAAAGGGAAAAAAATTCAGTAAAGTGACAGTGTAAGGGATACTGCTAGAATATAAAAATTATGCTGAAGATGGTGAAATATAAATATTAACGAGAGGTTTGGCTCAAGGAACTAAGTTCAGCATGTAATATATGGGAAAGGCAGCAACAGTGAAATAACCAGTGCTGTGAAAAAAAAATAACTAGAATATGCACTGACAATTAGTAAGAAGCTTTAATGAAGATAGCTGTTCACTACACTAAACAGAGAAACTACATATTTAGAAAAGAAGAAAACAAAATATATTTCTTCAAAGAAACTATTTTAAATAGCAATGATTACCAAAATTTCATATTTATATACAAATAATAAACCACTTACACTTTGTCCCCAATTTCCTCTGCCATTCGAAGAATTTCAAAGAGAAGTACCATTTTCCCAGAATGCTCCAAAACCTCAGCATCAGAATCTGTAACAAAATCTTTATACCAGTCTGGAGCAGGGCTGCTTGGATTAGAAGAGGAAGTAGCTTTGCCTAAAAATAAATGAAAACATTAGTAAGCAGACTAATAAGGAAAAAAGATCCCCAAAAGGGATGGAAAAGAAGATTAAGAACTAAAAGTGTTGATACTGTTGTAATCATGTTACCTAAACTATAATGGAAAAGAAAGAGTTATTGAAAAGTAGGTCTATATGAATCCAGTGAAAGAGTTAGAGAGACTGACAGAGAATTGGGAGAGGGGAGGAAAAAAGAGAGATACACACACTCCCACTCTGGGGAATCAAGGGAGGGCTGTACCCAAGTGAATGTAAGAGATCCAGAGAGGTTCTTCAGGCCTGTGTTCTCCCTTGAACACATTATCTTGTATCTTGCTTGACTGTCTCTATATTTCTTTGCTGATCTCTAATATGAAGAAATCTGAGTTCTCTCTTGAATAATTATTTCCACTTTTTCTCTCCTCTCACATCTTCCTAAGCAAATTTCATTCAACAAAAACTATCTTGCATAGGGAAGGGTACCATTAGGACAGAGAAGGGACCACTATGACAATGATTGTTGGAAACGATCACTCTGGACAAGAACTAGGTGCTGAAAGAAAGCAAAGTGATATGCTTGATACCCTTTCAGTGCCTCAAAGGGAAAAAAGCGGGAAGAAGAAAAGTGTCTGCCATAGAGACAGGCCTGGGGTTGAGGGGAGGCTGGGGGACAGGAAACGTAAACTGGTAAAGAGATGGGTGTTGGAATACTATTACTAAAACCCAATCATAAACAACTTTGTAACTGTGTATCTCGTGGTAATTTAATTTTAAAAAACAACCTTCTCTCAGGAATAGGAAAGACAGTACAGAGCTGTATACTTTGTATAAGGCAGACAGGGGCTTGATCCCTGGTACCACATATAGTTCCCCAGTGTGCTAGGAGAGTTCCCAAAGCATAGAGCAGAACTAAGCCCTGAGCATCAAGGGAGAGAGGGAGGGAGCGAGGAAAGGAAGAACCTTGTCTCCAAAAAAAACAACATAAAACCATGAAGACCCTGAGAGAATCCAAGCATCACTCACACACTCATATTTTTTCTCTTTTCTTCTCTCTCTCTCTCTCTCTCTCTCTCTCTCACACACACACACACACAGAGCAGAGAGAGGGTTGCAGTGAGTATAAGAGATAGACCTTTAAAAAATACAAGCATAAGAAATAGAACCTGGGGACAAGAAACTCAGACAGACACAGACCGACCATAAAAGACAAAGACTACACATAGAACTGAAGAGAGAATAACCTAAAACACACTCCAAGAGACCACAAAGCAAAACACAAAGAATGGAGAACAGGAAAAAGAAAAACAGACTGACTCAGAGATCGAGAAAATAGATCACGGAGGCATGAAACATTTCACTGAGTGGACTAGGCTAGGTTTCTGGAAAAACTGATTAATCCTACAATCAGTATTAAATCACTCCATTCTTTGACTATAAAACACAGAAGAAAAAGGTAACAGACAAAAAAAATCTTTGTATCTGCCTGTAAGGCCTAAGACAAGGCAATCAAATGGCATAAGGAACATGGTGGTGGGGGGTGGGGGCGCATGTAAAATCTATTTAAGTCTAAAATTACCCTCTTTGTTGTCCTGACCACGAAATCAAATTAATTCTTTTGGGCAACAGTAGGCTACCTACAATGTTCTTTGTAGAATTATTCAGTTCAACTTCTTTCTAAAAGTTTTGTAACAATTTATTATGAAGTAACTCACAGAACATTGTTGAATGAATGTGTCAAGGTAGAATAATCTAAACAGTTCAATTCATAATAAAGGGGAAACTGGTTTTGACTGTTTTTATACCTTCCCTTACTTTTCTGGGGAGAGGAGTTTTTGGATTATACCTCGTGGTACACAGGGCTTACTCCTGGTTCTGTGCTTAGGGATTATTACTTGTGAGGTTTGGGGGTAGGATCCTAGGGCTTCAGCCCATGTTGGTAGCATGCAATGCAAGACCCTACCCACTGTACTATATATAACTCGGATGAAGTTATTTTTAATATAAATAAAAATTGGTATATACTTCCACTGTAAATATTTAAGTATTTGAAAAATCACAGACTATAATGATTTGCCATATTCATACATCTCATCTTTATCAAATTCTACCACTTCATCTGGAGCTGTTAATGCCTTATATGTAACACTTTGAATTTCATTCTCTTCTTTCCCTCCCTCCTTTCTAAGAAATAACTAAAACTCTACATTCTGTATTTTTCATTTGTGTATATTTTTCTATTTTGTTACATGTGTGTCATATCGGGCTAGAGTGTGCACGCAGCGGCCCCGGGCCAACCGCAGTTTGATTCCTCTGCCCCTCTCGGAGAGCCCAGCGAGCTACTGAGAGTATTGCGCCCTCACAGCAAAGCCAGGCAAGCTAACCGTGACGTATTTGATATGCCAAAAACAGTAACAAGTCTCACAATGGAGACATTACTGGTGCCCACTTGAGCAGATTGATGAACAATGGGAGGACAGTGCTACTGTGCTACAGTGTATCATATCAAACTGCATATTATATTTCATATTAAATCATATGTAAATAATTTCATATCATTCTGTAACTTACTTTTTCACTGAATGTAGTTTTCATTTCTCAAATTAGTTTTTCTTTTTTCAATCCCTTCTTCCATTTCAATTGAATAATCATTTCACTCAAAGGTAAATGAGTAGCCAATCATTTAACTGACATGTAGTATTCAACTGCATGAACATACCATCATTTCTTAGTTCTATTCATAAGCATTTAGTTTAATTTTGGCTGCTAGGAAAGAACTACAATGAATGTTCAATATTATGTTAATTTTAAATGTTTTTATTTCATCTAACTTTCAGATTTTCTACCATAGAGTTGATGCTTTTGACTTGTAAAGTACCACTTTAGATATTTATTCTAAAGTATTAATCAAATCTACTATACTCTACATGAGATTCTTAAGAACTTAATCACAGTTTTTGTCATGTATTTTTACAGGTTAACTCTTTTTATTGGTGGTTTTAATTTTAGGGCCACACCTGGCAGTGCTCAGGGCTTATTTCTGGCAGGACTTGGGGATTGAACTCAGTCAGCCACAACAAGGCAAGCACCCTAGCACCCTACCCATTATAATACTATCTCTCCAGTCCCTCAGTTAATTCCTATTTTATTGCTAATTTCCTATTGTTAATTATTTCTCCAGATAGCCTAAACTTTTCCATCATTTTACTTTCAGTATAGCTGTAACATATGAATAAACTGGGTAGTCTAACCTCAGGTGATGTATTTCCACAGAGACTGAACCTCTGTTTCTGACAAGTACTCCAGAAAATAGCAACCCATACTTACTTTGGGGGATGTTCTATCATATTCCTGGGGATGAAACTCAGAGCATCACACATTGCTTTAGAATAACTTTCAAGATTAGTATTCAAGCTTCAGATTTTTAGACTACGTAAACAATATGAATTTAAATTAAAAAAAAAAAAACCTATGTAACGGAAAACTCATGACAGTGAAGCCAATTAAATCATTTTCCACGGAACCTAAAGGAAATACTTCCTTGTCAATTAATTTTTCTAGTCTATTCTGCCATGAATTATATAACTTTTAAAGTGTCTTGGGCCTTTTCTTTGTTTTTGCTTTCACTTTTTAAGGGTCACACCCAGCGATGCTCAGAAGTTACTCCTGGCTCTTAACTCAGGAATTATACCTGGCAGAGCTTGGGGGACCATATGCAATGCCAGGAATTGAACCCAGGTTGGCTGCATGCAAGGCAAACACTCTACCAGCTATACAAAGTGATTTGGTTTTAAGAAGGGGTTTAAAAACTCTCCAAACTTATAGAATGCTCAAGGATTTGTATCCTGTCCTAGAAATATGTAGGTGAAAAAAAAAGTTAATAAAGACTAGAATATTCTTAGGCCTTACATAGTATGCTTACTTAAATTTACTCTTTAGATTGGTTTCCTCTTTGTGTGGAGGTGTGGAGATTTCTACTACTTTTAGAAAACTTGTGTATTTATATTCAAACCACAATAGACTTACTGCCTAAATGTGTCAATATATTTTGCAGGGGGTTCTTTTTGTTTTCATTTTTTGGGCCACACCAGGTGGTGCTCAGGGCTTACTCTTGGCTCTCTGTGGTTAAAGATCACTCCTGGATCAGCCACATGGGAAAAAATGCCCTGCTTGCTATATTATCACTCTGACCCTCAAATCTTTTCTTCACTATTGTATACATACTACTTTTTCTCCCCACTCTTCTTTAAAAGCAAATTATTTTTGCTTCACAATGCTTGCAGAGTTTATGGAACTCTCTTAATTTCTCAGAAATGCCCCCTTGCAAGGCTGGCCCTGGACTAATGTCTAGGAACTTGAATGTGAGTTCCCTGTACTAATGTAAACATTTCTCTCATAACAGTGATATACTGTGCATATAATAACCTCAGTACAAACAAAATGGCTTGTTCTGAATACCTGTTTTCTCTCTGAGAATGGAATCTGTTAATATTTAGACAGTATCTATGTGACTACTACCCAATGGAAATTTTTGGCACTTAGTCTAGCAAAGAGCATCTCTGATAGACTTCTCTAATAGCACTTCACGTGTAGTGTGATAACTCATTATTGTTGGAGAAATTAATACATCCTCTGTGACATTACTTGGAAGATTTTGCATGGAATCCTCTGACCTTTGCCGTATGGGCCATCTTTTCTTTGCTGATTTTGCTTTTCCGATTTTACTGTAATAAACCAGTCTCAAATATCACTGTTGAGTCCTATCACTGACTTAGGTATACAGTTTGAGACCAAACACCTTTCTATAATTAGTCTACAACTAGCAAATAGCCAGTGGATTAGCAGAATTCTGGTTCCACAGACTACACAACTTATGCAATGTTTCAGTTTTTTGGAGGATGAGGGGAGTGTGGGCCACATCCAATGGTGCCTAGGGCTTACTGCTGACTCTGCATTCAGGGATCATTTCTGGTGGACTCAGAGGACAACATGTGGTGCCAGGGACCTAACCTAAGTTGGCAACATGCAAGGTAAGCACCTTGCCTGCTGTACTATCACTACAGCCCCCAGCTGTACATTTATACACATTTACTAAAATAACTGAAAATTTAGAAATGTTTAAATGCTGCTAATAAATCAATTAAGATGGAGTAAATAGACAAAAAATCCAGAAAGCTTAGGACAGGTAGCAATTTTATGTAAATACAACAGAGTCCATGCTAATTTTGATATTATTGAATACAATTACACATTACAATGTTTTAAAAAATATCCTCCCAAAATAGGCTATTTTCGGTTACTGAAAATCCCAGGGGCTTGAGCAATAGCACAGCAGGTAGGGTGTTTGCCTTGCACGTGGCCAACCTGGGTTCGATTTCCAGCATCTCATATGGTCCCCTGAGCACTGCCAAGGGTGATGATTCCTGAGTGCAGAGCCAGGAGTAACCTCTGTGCATCACTGGGTATGACCCAAAAAGGAAAAAAAAAGAAAGAAAGAAAAAGAAAATCCCAAAATGCGTAACTGAGACTTACAAACAGATATTAAACATTTAATATTATTTTTAGTTAGGCAAGGCTTGTGGGCTGGAGCAGTAGCACAGTGGGTAGGGCGTTTGCCTTGCACGCAGTCAACATGGCCGACCCAAGTTCGATTCCTCCACCCCTCTCGGAGAGCCCGGAAAGCTACCGAGAATATCTTGCCCACATGGCAAAGCCTAGCAAGCTACCCGTGACATAGTCAATATGCCAAACACAGTAACAACAAAGTCTCACGATGGAGACGTTACTGGGCCTGCTCAAGAAAAATCGATGAACAACGGGAGGACAGTGATATAGTGAGGCAAGGCTTGTAAGTGGTGTTCAGTGGGTCAGGGGCCTCTCCATGCAATTCTTGGCCAATCATTCCAGAGATTTTCTGGGAGGGCCCAAGAAGGACTGTGGACTGGGGTTCAATCCCCAAAAGCACATACAGTCCCTGAATACCACTAGGAACAATCACCTGAGCAGAGAGCCAGTAGTAAGGCCTGACCACCACCAGGTGTGACACAAAAACAAACAAAAAAAAACACAGTTTAAATACAGACATGCAAGTAACATTAATTTCTTTAAATGTAAGAGCGTATATAATGTGCTTGCCTATATTTAAATATAGATCAGAATATTTTGATTATCATCTGTAACCTTGATTATTCTAGATACTTATCATTTGAGAAAAGATTATCTGGGATCAAATAATAAGGATAAAAGCTTTAAGAGCACTGACATGAGTATAATCAATACTCTACGACAAATGCAAGATTCATTAGACTTACTTTCTTCCAGCTTTACAGAAACTGATGGATTGTTTCCAGATTCATCCACATTTCCTTCACCACCTCCTCTAGATCTTGAATTCCAGACTTTAATAACTTCAACATCATTGTCACTGCCACTTCCACTTGAACTACTATCTTTTTTTCCTCTTTTCCCTTTTGTTTTCTTCTTTCTATAAGAAGAATTCAAACTATTAAAAAAAAGCCTAGTAAAGATACAGATGTCAATTACCTCAAGTAATCAAGAAATTGGGATCTTAAATGTGTCAACAGAAAATAAAAGGTATTCAATTTACTTTGTACGATCATCAGAGCTTAAACTCATGGAGGTTTCATCGGAATCTGAAGCTAAAAATTCATCCATACTGTCTTCATCAAAATATCCCTAAAGAAAAAAGGAGATGAATATTCAATACTGTATTTATTTGAATTATTTCAACTTATACTGGAAATTACAATAATGTTCATTTCATTTAAAGATAAATTAAAGAATGGAAAAAATGGGGCCAAAGGGATAGTACAGCAAGTAGGGTACTACTGCCTTGCACACAGCCAATCCAGGTTTAATTCTCAGCATCCCATATGGTCCCCTGAACACCTCCTGGAGTAATCCCTGAGTGTAGAGAGGGGTAACCCCTGAGCATCACCAGGTGTGACCCAAAAATCCCCCTGTTCCCCCCCACAAAAAAATGGAGAAACTATCATAGATTACAAAACACAAAGGAGACATGACAAATATTACCAAGTGATGTCTTAGGTTTAATGAATTAAAAAGGACATCACTAGAAGAAAACTAATGAAACCTAATTAAAGTAAGGTGTTTAATACTATTAGCCCAAAGGTAATTTCTAAATTTTGGTAATTTCTAGGAATATGTAAAATTAACAATTAGTACTTCTTCCATAATCATAACTCATTTAAACATACAGAAATGAACAAGAAACAAAATTTGTTGAACCACTGTACTATTAAATAAAAAGGAAAACTGAACATACAATATGTTCTCATAAATCTGCCTTTTCCCAAAAGTTTTTGTTTCAAAGTGACACCATTTTATCAATTTTTGGTTATTTGATTTACCTTATTTTCTTTGCTAATGTAGTCCAGCTGCAAACACCAAGGATGAGTCCAAATTCTACTTAACATCTGAAAATCTTGGAAGAGTTTTGCACCTGCCTTACCTCTTCCACCTTCATTGCTATTACCTACACCTGTTCAAAAGAATACAATAATAAGAATAAAATAGTATCTCTTTGTTAATACATTAAATAACATGTTAAGTCTTTCAATCAACTAAATTTCTGAACTTTATAGTTTTGTGATCTCAATAACAATAACATATAGAACATATAGAAATATTTCTGATTTCTATTGATACCAAAGTTGCCCTCATTAACAGCATACTTTGTCACCTACATTTATAAAAATAAAAAACTTTAAAGCTCTACTTTTGTTGTGCTATCACTCCAGCAAAGCCTGGCAGGCTACCCGTGACATATTCAATATGCCAAACACAGTAACAACTGTCACCATGGAGACGTTACTGGGCCCGCTCAAGCAAATTGATGAACAATGGGAGGACAGTGACAGTGACAGTGACAGTACTTTTGTTAGAGATAAGTAAAAATTTAAGATTGCCTTTTAAGTTTATAAATGACCATAAACTCTATTACAAAATTGTTTTATAAAAAGCCTGTTACTTTATATAGCACTTTAACAACTTTTTCCAATTCTTTTAAGGTGTCCCACCAACAATGCTCAGGAGCTATCAAAGTTATATCCACTGGTTGTAGACAAAATTTAACAATACTACGAAATACTAATAAAAACTCATAAATACATGGTACGGCTTATTTTTTCTGTTGAAGAGTTATTTCCATGTTGAATAACAGAATTCATAGCTGTTAAAATGATGTATTTAGGGCCAGAGAGATAGTATAGGATTTAAGGTGCTTGTAATTTATGTTGAGTTAAGCCAAGAGACAATCCAGTGAGGTAGAAATGATCTCAGGTACAATTGTGGGGTGCTTCCTGTTTGTTCGCTTAAAGAAGGTAGATTTCTAGGGTGCTCTAAATAATATTATCCAAAACAGGAGTGAAGGGTCAGGCCTATAAGCATGAGAAAGCCTGTTGTAAATCATTAAATTTGTAGTAATTTTTTACAGAAGAAGTAGGAAACTAATACAGCATCCTAATGAAATACGTATCATTTTGTATATACACCATATCTTTCTGATTCACGCAAACTTAACAATGCGTCTGTACAAATGGTAGCTGGGAGTCGAAGAAAACAGGCTAGCTGGGTGCACTGGGAAATCTAGTGGAGGGAAGATGACACTCGAGATGGGTTTGGTGCTGGAACATAATATGTCTCAAGCCCAACTACAAATAACTTTATAAATCAGTTCATATATATGTATATATATGTGTGTGTATATATACAAATATATACATATATACATATATATGTGTGTGTGTATATATATATACATATATATATTGCTTTTTGGGTCACATCCGGTGATGCACAAGGGTTGCTTGGGGGACCATATGGGATGTTGGGAATCAAACCCAGTTGGCCATGTGCAAGGCAAACAAACACCCTACCCACTGTGCTATCACTCCAGCCCCAAATATTTTTAAAGTTAGAACTATACAGATCAATTTAGAGAGTTCCAGTGGTATTTAATTTTAGTCAATTCAGAGTTTCCAAGTCCATATATAGTTAAGCTAGCTAAGTGTTCTATTTTTATCAAAAGAAAGAGGGTAGGGAAAATTGGATGAATCTTAAATAATAATAATAAAGAATTAAGAGAATTATTAATAATTATTCATAAGAATTTATTATTAATTACTATAAGCAAAATAAATTTGCTCGAGCGGGCCCAGTAACGTCTCCATTGGAGATAATCTCTTTTGGTCATTCATGTCTGGAGATGAGTTGGTAAGATAATGCATCACCACAGGCCAACACTAAACTTCTTCAGAATATCACACGGTCAATCTAGTAACTCAACAGAAACAAGCTTAATCTTTATAATAAATGATGCTAATAATTAATAATAAATTTTTAAATATTTCTGTGTTTGAAAATAAATTTTTAAACATTTTTGCTAATAATGGTAGCATAATATAACCCGCTTATATTTTCCTATATTTTTCCTTTGAAATTTTATGAATTTGATAACAAAAATGGTTTCATAATTTTGGGGGACCCAATGGTGCATGCTCTGGGCTTACTACTCCTGGCTTTAAGCTCAGAGATCACTCCTGGCAGTGTTGGGGGGGATAGGTGCATATGGGATGCTGGGGACTGAAACCAGATCAGACATAAACAAGGCATTGCCATAAACACTGTAATATCTATCCCACAAGGCAAATGCCATACCAGCTCCAGTCTCACAGATTTTTATTTGCATGTCTTTTAATATAAATATTAAATACTGAACATTGACACAATAGAATTTTATGTATTTTTGATTAGTTTATCCACATTATTTTACTCAAATGAAAGCTATTTATTTACAGGGACTGGAGCAATAGTACAGCAGGTACGGCACTTGCATTACACACGGCTGACCTGGGTTTGGTTCCCAGCATCCCATATGGTCCCCTGAGCACCGCCAGGGGTGATTCCTAATTGCAAAGCCAGAAGTAACCCCGTAACCCCTGCTGTGCATCGCTGGCTGTGACCCAAAGAGCAAAAAAAAAAAACCAAAAACCTATTTACAAATTAAGGGACTATTCACTTATGAGTTTGTTGTGTTTTGGGTTTTTAAAATTTTTTTTGGCCAAACCTCAAATGGTAGTGCTCAATACATACTCCTGGATAAACACTCAGAGATCATCCCTGGCGGGCTCAAGGGGCCATATGTGGTCCCAGGGAACAAACCCAGGTCGGCCATGTGAAGGCAAGCATCCAACCCACTGTGCTATCACTCCAGCCCAAGTTTACTTTTTTCCAAAACAATATGTTCCTTAGCTGATTTAAATAATACTAGTGGTTTCAAAGTTAAAGCTGGTTCAGAGTTAGAAAAGATAAAGGAAATGTGTGAAGTTCTGGGCTTCAATTTTTATAAAAGCTTTTTAAAAATTTCATACGCAGTCAAGGAAAAGATGATCCAAATGGGAGAACTAGTGCTTACCTCTTCTCACAATCACAACAAATATAGACCAAAGTGTGAACATGTAAACAAATCTAAATCCCCAATGAGCAAATATTTACAGGAGAAACAGGAGGACATTCAGACAGATTGGAGACAGACATTCTCACAAAACAAAAACCATATCACAGAGGAATAAGGTAAAATGGAAAGGATATTTTTCCAAGGTGCAGCATTTTACTTTGGGAAGTAAATACACTGTACCCAAATACTATACTCCTAATATGAGACAAAAAACATGGAGCAATAAACAAGAAGATGAATTAATACAAGTGTCTTGGGATAAATGAGTGGCAAAAAGAGGCTAACATGCAAGCAGGAGGCTATGAGGCCATGAATTCAGTCCTCCTCACACCATATCTCATGGTTAAGAACAATTATAGCAACTCTGTGGTTCAGGGTCCCCAGAACTAGTCTTATTTCTCATTTCCAGCACAATACAACGAAGAATACGCATGCACCACAACTGAAGTCTGGGAACTCTGTAAGTATTAAAACTAAATTATGCCAGGGCTGGAGAGATAGCGCAGCGGGTAGGGCATTTGCCTTGCATGCGGCCGACCCGGGTTCGATTCCCAGCATCTCATATGGTCCTCCGAGCACCGCCAGGAGTAACTCCTGAGTGCAGAACCAGGAGTAACCCCTGTGCATCGCGGGGTGTGACCCAAAAAGCAAAAAAAAAAAAGTAAGTTATGCCATGACATACACAATCATGGCAACCAAAAAAACTAAGTGACCTCCCCCAACCAACACAAGAATAAAAAGGGAAAGAAAAGGAAACAAAGTCAAACCACAAAAAAATGAAAACAAGGTGTATACATTACCTGTTAAGTGATCTAAGTAGTACTGATAAAGCTTGCACTGAATCGAAGTCATTCTTACAGCTAATACATATTCATGTTTTGGAGGCAAGAACTTTGTTAATGCTGTATAATCTTTCCTCTGTAATTAAGAAATAAAATAGTTAACATAAATATGGCAAAATTAACTGTTCTAAGAATTATTGTTGTTTATAATTAAAATAGGCATATAAATAAGTACCAGATAAAAATTATGAAAACATTTTCGTAAATGTATTCCCCCTCTTTGTTTTTGCATTTTGATTTGTATTGGGGCTACAACTGAATGTTGTGTTCAGGGCTTATGTTTGGTGGGGCTCAGAGTACCATAGGTGATGCCAGAGATTGAACCCAGGTTGGTCATGTGCAAGGCAAATATGCTACTCATTGTCCTATCTCTCATACTCCCTATTTCCACTTTTAATCACATATATTTTATATGTATATAAAATATAAAGTACTGGTAAAAAGTCATTGCAACACTTAGATATGTATTAAGATAAAGCAGTTATATTACCAACTAAGCGATTTCAGTCTCTCTATACAGAAAAAGGAAAATATGGTAAGAGATAGAGTATAAAGAGCTAGCTACATTTGCCTTATGCCTACAGTGAAGCCTATAAATCAAAGAGATGCTGTCTGACTGTCCTTTTGGTAATATATGCCAATATCCCAGAGGATAATATGGAACTGCAGGGAGTATGTTTATCCAACTGAGAAAGCAAGCTTGTAAAATGATAAAAGTAGTACTGATAAAGCACGCAGTGAACTGAAGTTATTCTTACAGCCGGCTTAAAGTGCTTACATGAGCACTTTTAAAATTATTTTTGTTGTTGCATGTTGGGGAGGGAGGCATACCCAGCAGTGCTCTGGACCTAAACAGTGCAGGGGATCAAAGCCAGGACCTAAAGCATGTGCACTACCACTTGAGCCATATGCCCTGTTCTGAAACTATATAAAAGTAAGAACACTAATTTGCTAAGTATGCCTACTTACACTAGAAAAATGCTGCCTAGGTTGTACAATGAAAACAAACAGAGTACTTTCTACTGCCTGGTGGGCAAACAAAAATACATTTGTCTTACCTGATCATAATATATTCAGCCAGAAAGAGAGCCCATTTTATTTTTTACATGTATGAGGCTACACTACTACTACTACTTAGTCTCTGAAGAAAAAGTGAAGATCTTGAAATCCATTATTTTTTTAGCTCAGTCTCTATAAAAACCTAGTTTATATAAGTAGTGTATTTTATGAGTAGTGCTCACTGCAGATTCAGTAATCACCTATACGTAAACATCATTAGCCCATTTAAACTATTGTATATACTCAAAAATAAATGCTTTCTTCAGAATTACATTAAAAATAATTCCTCCAGAATTCATAGTTGCCTTTCTTACAGCCAGTTAAAATAAATGAGTTTTTGTGGAGTTCATGCCCAATTCAATCAGCTAATCAGTGGCTGAATAAATAGCAGTACTCCTACATTTTAAAAAATGTACAGTTTCTGAAAATAAGCCTTCCAAGAAGCATCCTGCCCCACTCCTGTTTTTGCTCAGCAAACACCTGAGCCTATTAAAAAATGCTATTGATTGTCATTTTCTGACAGTGTTTGGCACCTCATTGAAACTCTCGTCATTAAAATGTCCAGCAGGTGAACCAAAGACTGATTTTAAATTTGTTATAAATAAAATATTCTGTTTGCAAAAAAAATGAGTTTTTAAATGCCCTATTAAAATAAATATAAAAAGTGCTATATTACGCAATTAGGATTGGCTTAGGAATTTCCTAATCATAATAGCTATGTTCTTTTAGTGTTCCTTATCTTAATGATGAAGAATTACGATATAAATTTGCTAAGAGAAAAAATACTAGATAAATGTATTCTAAACTTCCTAATGGAACATCTAGTTAAGAAATTAAATACTGTGGCAGAGTGATAGTACAGTGGGGAGGGCATTTGCCCTGCATGCAGCTAACCCAGGTTTAATCCCCTGCATCCCATAAGGTCCCCCAGGGCCCTACCAGGAGTAATTCCTGAGTGAAGAACCAGGAGTAACCTCTGAACATCACTGGGTGTGACCCAAAAAGCAAAAAAAAAAAAATTGACACACTGAGACAGAAAAATGGTCCAGTGGTAAAGCACATGCCTTGTACATGTGTGGCCCTAGATATGATCCAGAGCACCACCCCACCACACAAACATTAAATATTGTGCTAACTTCCACAACTTACCTACCACCATCCTGAGCTGGAAGCTGAACCCAGGGCCTCACACGTACAAAATCCATGCTTTACTACAAATCAAGGGACCAAAGAGATAGTAAAGCAGGCACTTGCCCTACATGTGGCTAACCAGGGTTTGAGTACTGCCCTAAGCACTACCAAATTTAGCCACAAACTAAAAAAAAACACGATTCAAGGCACTTACGCAAAACTACATAAAGGGAGAAAGAAAGCACTAACGTTTAAATTCAGAAAATATTTTGGAGTTAAAATACAATACAGAAATAAGCTTTAATTACTGTGGAATGTATTTGTACCTGAACACATCCAGCTAACATCTCATAGAGAATGTGAGCACGCTTTTTCATCACTCTGACATCTACCATGGTAGAATCAGCACACTGACCATTTTGAATCGGATTTATAAATCTATTCCTGAACTCCTTAATAGATCCAAGCAAATTTTCCTTGATGAAGTTAACCATGCAGTGATCTATAAGACATAAAATTTATTGATAATGGCTAAGAGTACTCATAAGTTCTCTGGTAAAATGCTTGTCTCAAAAACACAGGCTACAGAATCATTAAAATTAAGCTATAAAGGAAAAAAGTCAAACTGAATACAGAACACTGGTTACAAGCCTAATCTATAACAAGATAGCCTAATCTGATGAGAAATTAAAATGAGCCATCCCTAAATATTAAACACAAATGTTTTACAAAATATGAAAATAGATTTGCTTTGTTTTGGGCCACACTCAAATATTCTCAGGGCTCACTCCTAGTTCTGTGCTCAGGAATCACTCCTGGCGGGTTCAGGAGACCAAATAGGGTGCTGGGAATTGAACCTGGGTTGGCCACATGCAAGGCAAATGCCCTACCCATTTTACTATCGCTCCAGGCCCTGAAAATAGTTTAACTCAATATTCTCTATAATAGATATAAAGCAAAAAATCAAGCATTTTTATGATCAAGCACATCTGATGACAAAATTATACTTAATCAAAATATTAAATCAAGTTGTGAGCTATTACAAAAATGTTGTTAACTGATTTAGTACCATAATTCTGTAGCAAAGTTAACATTTATTCTACATAGGGCTATAATGTGAAATGGTATTTGTATAAATAGGGTAATAGAGAAGGACGAATCTAGAATAAAGTAAAATAAAGGCTTTAATAAAATAATAACTAGTGTTATAAATAAAAACATTCAAGTTATTATAAAATGACACAAAAAGCACATAAATAACAAAAACAAAAACAAAAGGCTATCACAGTGGATTATAATGAGAAACTTCTAATCATTATATGCTCAGTAAATCATGCTCTCTATTTCATGTCACCACCAAACAGATATAAAAATGAGAGAAATTCACAAATCACATCTCTGAGTTCATATCACCTCTACTCAGTCTCATCTCAGCAAATTCTATTCTGACATGGACTAAACAGTTTTCCTTCCATCTCCAGCTTCCTAAAATATTCGATTTTGTTATTTTTTATCTCTCTATAACCCAAACTTTTATTTGGTTACAATGTTTCCTGAATAGACAGAAATAAAATGGTATTTTTAAAGGTAATCATGAAGATACTTTGTACATCTCAACTACAGTACTTAATTTCCAACATTCATAATGACTATTTTATAATTTATTATTTTTAAACACGCTAATTGGAAAGTATATTATTTCACAATAGACAAAGACCTATTAATTACATAATCAGAGACTACAGTAAAGAGAAGAAAATGGCAAAGTAGCAATAATATATATAAGGAAATGGTAATACTCTACAGTAAAATTGCAGATAAGTAACTTACATTCAATCAGGTTATTTTGAAGTGGTGTTCCTGTTAAAATAATCCTTCTCCTTGATCGTATAGAATTCATAGCCTTTGAAACAGCAGATGCTTCATTTTTTAAAATATGGCCTTCATCACAAACAACAAAGTCAGGGCCTATTAAAATGTGTGGAAAAACAACACTTAACACATAATGAACTGAAAAAGAAATTCAATTAAGTAAAAATCTTAAGTTTTTTACAGCACTGCACTTGTGCAAAGGTGACACAAAAATCTAAGAGTGATCATATTTGGGATCAAAAACCTTTAGGCTATAAAGGTTTGCCTTCAATATAACTGTCCTTGTTTTGATCCCCTTAACTACATAATGAGGTAACAAAATCTTGTAGAATTCAATGATAGTTAGACAATGTTGGATTTAACATTGGTTTGTCCTTTCTCTTCCACTGCAAGGAGCGAAGATTTATTGAATTACACCCATCATAGTGCTCCTAAGACACTCCCATTCCTCTGCTTATCTTTAATTTTTCCTTCGTGCTCTGCTTCCCCTATCTGTTAATCACTCATATCCCCAAATCAGACCCTGTGGCTTATAAAGTCAGATTCCTCTGGATTTTGTATATGAAAGTGAAGTATTGCTTTTCTCTTTCTTTCCCTTGTATACTTTGCATAATTTACTTCAGAGCGATGTCCTTTTTGTATAAACACAGTAAGACAGTTAATGTTATGCTTTTGTGACTTGGGAATTAATTGACTCTGAAAAATATTTACTCCTGGGCATGTCATTATTTACTCAACTTAAGTCTCAGTTGCTCTTAGTGCCTAACACCCTAAAAGGAGGGTTCCGACTGTTTGCCATAGAGGCCGGGTGAGTGGTGGGATGGGGGGGTAGGGATACTGGGGACATCAGTGGTGGAAAATGTACGCTGGTGGAGGGATGGGTATTCGATTATTATATGACTGAAAATCAAACATGAAAGTTTTGTAAGTGTAAAAAAAAAAGAGGGTTCCGATGAGGGACTTGGATGGACCCAGGGCAAGATGTAAGCTACCCAAGCATTGAAAAGCGACAAGCTGTAAGCTACCCTGGCATCAGAAAGGGACAAGCTATAAGCTACCCTAATATCAAAAAGGGACAGTCCAAGCACCATAAAAATTATAAGAGCAGGGTCATGGACATGGTCATGACCCAAAAAGAAGTAACTGGATAAGGACCCTGCTCGGAAGGACTAACCTGGTCTGAAGACTGTAGTCTTGGATGTGTTGTGAGATGTCCCAGGAGAGCCATTCTTTAAGCTTAATATATCTCTTACTGTGTCCATACAAAATGACTAGAAATATTATTAAGAAGTAAATTTAAGATGACCATTTAAATGGATCTGGACTAAGGAAAGGGGAAAATAATACATCATAGATGGAATTTCACTGGGCTGATCTCCTTGTAGGATACTTTGTCCTAGAAGAATCTTCTGAGGGAAGGGCTTGACATCTGTTGATTAGATAACCATACCTATGTGCAATTTCTACCCCCAACCCTTCATGATTTCTATATTACTAAGGCTGTGAGCCTGGGCAGTGGGAGACTGGAATGAGGGACAGTGTAAGACAGGGTGCTCAGTGAGAATGTAATACATAACAGGACAGAGATTGGAATAAACGGAAATATATCACCAGCCAGCTTGGTCCCCACTTCCTCCTTCATTTGTCTGTCACCTTAGGCCAGCCAGGGTGGGGAAGTGGCTCCTGACCACCAAAGGCACACAGTACGCCTTCACACATTTTGAACTCACAACACAACAGCATATAAATTAAATGTAACTACATGTACACTTAAACTGGCTAAATGGTAAATTTTATGCTATGTATATCTAGCCATCAAAAGTTCTTGTATTTTCCCAACCAATTTGCCAAAATAAATAAATACTTAGAATGACTTAAGGCAATAAATCATTTTATAAAATCTGCAAAACATTCATCATTGTAATAAGATCATATTTTTAAAATAAGGTAGTGTAAGCCCTGAAACTACGTCAGAAAAATAAACTTTAATCCATGGGCTGGAGTGATAGCACAGCGGTAGGGCGTTCGCCTTACATGCGGCCAACATGGCCGACCCGAGTTCGATTCCTCCGCCCCTCTTGGAGAGCCCGGCAAGCTACTGAGAGTATTCGATATGCCAGACACAGTAACAACAAAGTCTCCAATGGAGACGTTACTGGGCCCGCTCAAGCAATCCATGTGAAAAATAAAGGAGATAAAATAGCATTGTAACTATAAGTTATAGTTGCTGGCAAAAAAAACAACCATACATAAACACTATTCTCCAATAGTAAATTTGTTATAGATCACTAATTATCATACCACAAGTGTATGGAGACTGAACAAATATTTAAATGGATGAGGGAGTGTTGGAGTACACGGAGCTTAGGTTTATCAGGTTGCACCCATCACAGTGCTTCCGAGTCATTTCTATTATTTTGTCTGTAACTACTTCTTTGTGCTCTCTTCCCCAACAAATTTGTAAGGTCTCATCCTTCTTAGACACTGAAGCTGTACTGTAAGTTATTATTGCCTTTCTCCTCTCCTTAGGTCTTTTGAATAGTTTATTTTAATACAATGTCCTTTTTGTATAGATACAGGAAGACAATTAGTATTATGCTTTATAACTTAGGATTTAATTGACTTTGAATATTATTCACTCCTGGGCATCTGCTTTCTCAACTTAAGCCTCAGATGCCCTCACTTCCTAGCACCCCAAGGGCAGGGTCCCGACATGGGACTGGATGGAACCAGGGCAAGACGGCAAGTTATGTGCTATCCTGGCATCGTAATAAGCCAGGCCAAGGTGCCACGATTCTTAACTGTAGGTTAAGAGTTAGAGCATAGGCAAATGCTGTCATGATCCAAAAGTAATGACGAGACTAGGACCCTGCTGCTAGGAATAGGAAAGATATCTGGCCTGAGCACTGCAGTCTGAGATTGAGATGGCCCTGGGAGAGCAATTCTATAAGTTTAAAGTATTTCTTACTGTGCCCGTACAAAATGATTTATATTATGTATGCTTATATGTTGGTCAGACAAGGAGAGGAGAAACACATCCAGGGAAATCTGTTCTAGTGTGAGTTGATCTGCTAAATGAGAATCTGCCCTAGAAACTGCTTTCCCATGTGTCCTGACTAACTTGGATGAGACTGAACTTTCTCTCCTTCAAAGTGCCTTCAGTAAATGATTTCAGTATATTGACGCAGTTTCCCTTATCTCACAGGAACCTAGCTGATTTTAGGTATGCAGATCCCAGGTGCTAAGCCAGGCCTGATCTTTGGGATATAGACGCCTGGCTCCAGGCATGCTGAGCTCTAACAGACTGGTCTTTGTTGTGCTAATCGAAGTGCTTGTAGCTTATAAAAGGTGAGGCCAGGATTACTGGCCTAGGGATGTAAAGAAACAATGTATAGTTTGCTGCCTCAATGTTCTTTCTGTAACTCCTTTTGATGACATCACTGTATTGCCCCCTTTAGAGGTACTATGATCTATATAAGGGAGATTTCAGGGCTCTCTGGGGGGACACATCAGAGAACCTGGGAAGATGGGGCTGTGGACAGAAGCTGAGAGAACAAAGGTGCACATGCTTGAGAGATCCTGGGGCCTCCATGACATACATCTCTTCCATGTAATAAACTGCTGCTAAGACCAACCAGCCTGGTCCTCGTTTCTTTCCTTCGCCTGACCTCCCTGACATCGACCTCCCTGGAGTGGGGAAACGGCCTGAGACTACCTAACGCGGGCGGCGGGAGAGATAGGCCGCTGCTGTCCCCTTGCCTGTCCTTTTTTGTGTGTTTGCACAGGGGAGCTAAAAATCTCACTGTTGGAAAGACAAGAAAACCGATTTTAAAAATCTAATATGAACCTAAGACAATGAGAATGAAAAACATCATATGGTAGTGGATTTAGAGTTGAAAACATTCTATACTAAAAAAAAAATGCAAATACCTGAAGGAAGAATGAAAAAAAAAAACAAATACTTGGTAGTTGCTGAATTAGTATTTGTTAAATAAAACATAAAGTTTAATCTCAACACCTATAAATATCTTACCAGGATCAACCAAAGCTTTGTTGAATATTTCTTTAAGTTTCCTACTTTTCACATTCCTTCCTTGAGCAAGATTCCTGTACATCTCATAGCCTATGATCATAACACCACCATCTTCTTGCCATCTCTGTAGCATGTAGCTTCTATCCTGAGGACGTTTCACAGTCGCTAACTCAGAAACCTTTTATGGAAAAATAAAAATATTAAGTAGTTATTAGAAAGTCATGAATACAAAATATTTAAATACTGAAACATGCTCACTGGTAATTAAAAATATAATTTTCTTTTATTACATGAATGTAATGGACTAATTTCAATAATAAAAACATTTAAAATATGGTACCTCAAGTTTTTCATCATCTTTTAATCCCTCTTGCCACTTCTCAAATTCATTCATCCAATTCAATGCAGTATTAAGAGGACAAACGACTAAAGCAGTGCTGAAATCCAATTTCTTACATAAAAGAACTGTATGAAGAAAACTTACCACCTACAAGAAAATAAATAAAGTTGCCATCTTCATTTAAATATCTGTGAAAAAGTTAAAAAAGAATTCAGCTATCTTACTATTTAGAAGTTAGACTTTTTTGTCTTTTCTTTCTTTCCTTCTCCCCACCCCACCGTACCATACCTGATGATGCTCAGGGGTTATTTTATTCCTAGCTCAGGAATTACTGCTAGCAGGCTTGGGGACCATATGGGATACAGGGATTGAAAGCAAGTTGGTCACATCACGGCAAACACTCTACCTACTACATAATCTCTCAGGGCCCTTTTGTCTTCTTTTTTCTTTAAACAAAGCATAAATCTAAAAAAAATCAGAACTTCCAAACTAGTTTAAGTGCAAAGAAAATATACAATAACTAAAAGTTATAACTAAAAGTTCAAGTACATTCATTTTGGTTACAACTCTAAAATGCCTTAGTTTTTTGATAAATAACAATACTATGAACATGGATTTCAAAATAACTAGTAAGTCTCTTGTCTCAACAAAATACACATATAACTTTTTAGAAAACACTGGTGTCTATTCAGAAGAAAATTATGTTGAAATTTATATTCAGGTTTCTTCCCTTGACAGGAAGAGGGTGGCGATGGGGACAAAGCTGATAAAAGAAGGTTTGGACTATACTCAGAAGTGCTCAGACTACTCCTTGCACTGTGCTCAGGTGGCACTCCTAGTGGTGCTCAAAGGATTGCTTCCAAGTATTGAACTGGGATTGGTTGTGTGTGTGGTTAGCACCTTAACCCTGATATGATCCCTCTGATCCCTTTCCAGTTTGAAAATGTTCTGATTCTCTAAACCTACAATTATCGTGTCGATTAATTATATATATGACTCAATGAAATCCTATTCAGCTATTTTAAAACACGAAATCCTGGAGCTGGAGAAATAATACATCATTTAATAATGATGTTAATAATAATAATACAAGTAGAGCACTTGTCTTGAATATAGCCTGCCCAGGTTCGATCCCCAACATCACATATGCTCGCCTCAAGCACCAGCAGGAGTGATTCCTGAGTGCAGAGCCAGGAATAAGATCAGAGTTAGGACCAAAAAAAAATTACATCTGGCTATTGTGACAATGTAATTGAACCTGAGGTGATTATGTTAAGCAGAGTTAAGTCAAAAAATGAAAGACTTTTTTTTTGAACTAAAGACATATTAAAGGAGGTAAGGCACTCACCTTGCATGCAGCCAACCCAGATTGAATCCCCATTACCACAAATGGTCCATTAATCCCCACCATGAGTGATCCCTGAACACAATCCAAGAGAATGCCTTAAGCACTGCCAGGTAGAAGCCAAAACCCCACCCACAAAACAATAAGTGGAAAATGGGCACTGGTGGAGGGATGAGTATTTGATCATTGTATAATTGAAACCCAAGCACAAAAATTTGTAAGTCTACAACTGTACCTGATGGTGTCTCACTAATAAAAATTTAAAAAATTAAAAAAGACATCTTTCATATGTGGAATACAACAACCAAAACTAAAAACAATAACAAAACACAACAAAAAGAAATCTTAGAACCTATAAAAATAAGATGCTTACCAAAGAGCAAAGGGAAAGGAAGTGATATATATAGAAATAGCAGAGGGATTAATTTGGCTGGCAATGAACATGGCACAAGAATTTTGGTGGTGGGTATAATGAGGCATATATGCATCCCAATAGGGAACGGAAATGCCCAGATTTACTAATCTATTCATTTATGTATTCTCTTTCCTCCTCCTCTCCAGGAACTCTCAAAGGAAAACTGAAAACGAAATTACTGGATTTTGAGCAAACATGTCTCAGCATCCTGTGCTGCATATTTTTTATGAAAATCTGGTGTTTTACTCAAGTGAAAATCCAAAATTTAAATAGTATTACAAAATTAATATATAAATTTTATTTAAAAAAAGCTATACCACAAACATATAAATTCACTAATTTTACATCTCTGCTACAACTCCTGCCATTAGGAAATAGTAAGATTTCCACGTCAGAATTCTTGAAATTGGGGCGAGATAGACCGATCAGCAGGTACGGCACTTCCCTTGCACACGACCAAGTCAGCATCCTCATTCGGTACCTCAAGTACCACAAAGAGTAATTCCTGAGTGCAGAACCAGGAATAACTACTGAGCATTGATGGGTGTGCCTCCCACCAAGAAAATTTTTGCAGTTAGGGACTGGACAGATAATAGAGTAGATAGGCTGCTTGGCCTTGCACACAGCTAACCTGGGTTCAATCCCCAGCATTGCCAATAAAAATTCTTAACTGCAAAGCCTGGAGTAACCACTACGCATTGCTGGGTATGGACCCAAAACAAAAACAAGCAAACAATAAAAAGGATTTTTGCAGGTTTTACCAGTCCTATTATAGCATTCCTTTATTTCAGTGGAAATTTCTCATCTAACAGAACCTCCTTAAAAACTGCTTTCCTAGGGCTGGAGTGACAGCACAGCAGGTAGGGCATTTGCCTTGCACACAGCCAACCCAGGTTCAATTCCCAACATCCCATATGGTCCCCTGAGCACTGTCAGGAGTAATTCCTGAGTGCATGAGCCCAGAGTAAGCCCTGTGAAATGCCAGGTGTGACCCAAAAAGAAAAAAAAAACAACCCTGTGGCAGTGTCATAGTACAGTGGAAACTTGCTTTCTTGTGGCAGTGTCATAGTACAGTGGGTAGGGCATTTGCCTTGCACAGGGCCAAGGTGGCCATCCCATATGGTCCCCCCAAGCATTGTCAGGAGTAACTTCTGAGGGCAGAAGAACCAGGAGTAACCACCACCCCAGCCTCCCTGCTCCCCCATCCCCCTCACTCACCCCCACCATTCCCCACCACCAGTATGGCAGATAAACAAACCAAAAAATGCGTTTCTTCCCAAGCCCCATTAACCTTGATTATCGGAAAACAAATACATATTTTAAAATATCTCTCTTCCATTACAATATAAGCTTCTTGAGATTAAGATCTCATTACTCTTGCGCATCTCTTTATTCTATGCACCTAATGTTCCTGGGGCATAATAGAATCTCATGAATTATCTTCAATAAATCAGTAAGAACACTTCAGAGCTCTTGAGTTCTTACCTGTAAAGTCTTACCAAGGCCCATGCAGTGGGCAAGAATACATCCTGAACCTGGAGATTTCTTTGTTTTTTTTACAGATTCACAACAGCAATCCCACATAAACTGAACACCTAAAAATTAAAATTTCATTAAGTTCAATTTATATGCCAAGTTAAAAATCCTTCACAGGTACAAAAAAAAACCCAAACTTCTAAGAAAACAAACTGAAAAAAAGGTCTTAATTATCTTTTAAAAAAAAGGAAATTCCCCCACATGCCCAAAGTTAACAAGGCTGAACATGAGTACATAACAAAGTTACTTTCCTTTACTCATCTTAGCTACCAAATATGTTCTAAAGTTCCCTAAAATGGTCCCAAGAGACATGAACAGTTTAAAATAAAAACTAAAGAAAGATTCCTATCAAATGTGCACTCAGGTTTGTTTATTCATTTAGGAGGAACACTATTATATGATTTATCATTTCTATTTTTATTAAAAAGCAAAGACTGAACACTAATATACATAAGGATTAGGATTTAGAGAATTTCTCTTATCAATCAAGTCACATATGTAAACAAAATTGACTTACTGATTTTATGCTAGCAAAGTCCAAGAGAGCAATAATTTGGAATTTATAATACCAACATAGAAACATTTTATTAACAAGCACATCTGAAAAATGCTGAAATAGCATTTCCTGAAGGCTTTTAACCAACTACACCTCTTTCCGCACCAAATCATAGCCGTGACTAGCCTATACATACCAATTTAAGTGGTATCTAATTTTCCATTTTCCATCTCTCATTGTTTCTGATGGTTCAGTTTTGTTGTTCCTCATCCAGTCATGTGCTCCCATGACAGGGATCTTGTCTATACTGTTCACTAACATAACATCCTTTACTTAGCAAAATGTGAGGGACACTGAGACACCAAAAACAGGCAACATGAACCAAAATTCTTTAATCAAAGATCTTCTTACCATCTACTTGATGAGGCTTCAATTTGATAACCATATTTCTATGAACCTGCACTAAAGGTTCTTTAGTTTCCTCATCTTCATCTAAAACCAACTTTGTTGTTATTGGACACTGGGTAGGTGAAGCATCTTCAATTTCTATCACCTAGAAAAAGGTAGGGGTAATGAAAGAGACAGTAAAGTTCACAAAGGTTTTAAAGCAATGAGATCATGATCTTAGGCAAACTGTCTAAAGATAGAAGTATTTACTTCAAAACTACATACCCAGTGTTGGATCAACAAAACCAGTAAAGATCACAAGTTTAGATTTTTTTTCCAAATTCAAAACATTAATACACAAGACTTTTGATCACTACAAAAATCAGTAACTTTAGCTCGCTCACTAATTGTGAGAATACAAACTTTCAGTCTCTATGAAAAGCAGTATGAACTTTAAATTCAGAAACATCTACAATTCAAATAAATGGATAACCAGAATAAAAAGACATCCAAAAGGATAGGAAAAATCATTTGCCCACCAATCATCTGATGGAGGGTTAATATCCAAGATATATAAAGTACAGGTAGAACTTTACAAGGAAAAAATATCCAACCCCATCAAAAAATGGGGATAAGAGATTAATAGAAATGTCCTCAAAAACAAAATACAAATGGTCAGAGGCATATGAAAAAATGCTCCACATCAGTAATCATCATGGAAATGAAAATCAAAACAATGAGATCCTCCCAGGATGGAAGAAGCATGCTGAAAGTAGACTATACACCAAACATGATTGCCACCCACTGCCTCTTTTTGCAAACCACAACACCCAATAGGAGAGAGAGAACAAAAGGGAATGCCCTGCCACATAGGCAGGGTAGGATGGGGGGATGGGAGGTGGGAGGGATATGGGATCCGGGGTGGTGGGAAATGGGCACTGGTGGAGGGATGGGTATTTGATCATTGTATAATTGAAACCCAAGCACAAAAATTTGTAAGTCTATAACTATACCTCATGGTGTCTCACTAATAAAAATTTAAAAAAAAATAAAGCACTGAACCTCACTAAAAAAAAAAAAAGAACAACAACGGGGGGGGGGCTAGAGTGATAGCACAGCAGGTAGGGTGTTTGCTTTCAATGCAACCGACCCGGGTTCGATTCCCAGCAGACAATATGGTCTCCTGAGCATCGCCAAGAGTAATTCCTAAGCACAGAGCCAGGAGTAACCCCTGTGCATCACTGGGTGTGACCCAAAATGCTTAAAGAGAAAAATAAATAAATAAATAAATAAATAAATAAAAAGAACAACAACCAATGTTGGTCAGGATGCACTGGAGGAAGGGAAAAGAAGGAATGTCATTGTGGGAATGTCAACTAGTCCAAAAAGGAAAACAGTATTTTCAATCCCTTAAATAATAGGAATTGTGTATCAGTATCATTTTGCAATTCCACTCCTCGAAGTATATCACAAGGGCTCAGATGTACAGATGTACAATGCAGAATAGACATGCTCATTGCAGCACTATGCACAGTAGCCAAAATTTGGAAACAAACCAAGTGCACAGGAACTGGTAACTGGATAAAAACTATGGTATGTATACATAATGGAACACAAATCAGGCATAAGAAACCATGAAGTGGAAAGTTTTTCATGCCTCTCTGGTAGAGATGCAGCAACATGTGGGAAGCCAAGAGCCCTCTCATAGACCCTGGCCGTGGTTCCCATGTTAGGAACTGCTTGGGACAGACATTGGTGACAGTCTCCCAGGATTTCCTGATCTCAGTGGATTCCTGATCTATAGCCACATACATCAAGCTGACAGCTATCTTATCTGGCCTTATCTATAGTGACCTCCAGGATGCATCTACTGCCATAAGACCCTTTGATATACAAATGTAAAGCTCAGGATGCAGCTACTGCCATAAGATCCTTTGACCTACAAATGTTTACCTTGAATGCTATGTAAAGCTCTTGTTGCTGACCTTACCATGTATGGTTATATTGCTTCTGTTCTGACTGGACTGCCCCAGACCCTATATAAACAGCCTGCATCCCTCAATAAAGTCTGTCCCTTTTTCTCTCTGTTTCTAAACTGTACTCTGTCTCTTGTGTCTTGTGTTCATTCGGTTGGGCCCTCCTTGCACTAGCGGATCAATCCCCAGGGCCACCTCCGCGGCACGGAGAGTGGTTAGCGGGGCCCCCCGCAGTAAGATAGCATACCAAAAGCATAAATATTAAACATCCCATATTACCTCAATAATTAACTTCAATTTTAAAGAATATATGAGAATGCAAATGGTGATAAAGCTTATGGAAATAAATAATGTGACACAGCTTTCAGGAGTCCTCAACCCTTTTAAGAACACATGAGAGTCTGCACTTCTATGTTCATTGCATCACTATTCAAAATAGCCAGAATCTAGAAACAACCTGAGTGCCTGAGAACAGACAACTGGATAAAGAAACTATGTTACATCTACACGATAGAAAACTATACAGATCTACATAATAGAAAACTATACAGCTGTTAGGAAAAATGATGTCATGAAATTTGCCTATAAATGGATGGACTTGGAGAGTATCATGCTGAGTGAAATGAGTCAGAAGGAGAGAGACAGGAATAGAATGACTGCATTCATTTCTGGGATATTAAAAAAAAACAGGATGAAACTAATATCCAAGGCCAGGGAAAACGAGCCAGGAAGACTGGTCAATGGTTGGAAATTACCACAAGTAAGTGGGGGATTGAGGGTAATTAAGATAGAGGAGGATAAATTATGATAATATTAGTTGGAAATTATCATTCTGGACAAAAACAGTACTGAAAGTAGATGAAAGGATATACATGATAACCTTTTATCATCTGCATTGCAATCCACAATGTCTAAAATGAGAAAAAGAAAGAGAGAGAGGTGCCTGACATAGTGGCAGGCAGGGGTAGGAGGTGCTTTGGGTGCTGGAAAGGAAAAAAGAGGACATTGGTGTTTGAAAATTACACTGGTGGAGGGATGGGTATTGGAAGAGTATATGATTGAAACCCAACCATGAACACCTCATGGTGATTCAATAAATTGTTTATTTTTTTAAATTTTCATTAGTGAAACACCGTGAGGTACAGTTGTAGACTTACAAACTTTCGTGCTTGGGTTTCAGTTACACAATGATCGAGTAATGATCCCTCCACCAGTGCCCATTCTCCACCACCACTAATCCCAGTATCCCTCCCACCCCCCATCCCCCCATCCCACCTTGCCTCTGTGGCAGGGCACTCCCTTTTGTTCTCTCTCTCCTTTTGGGTGCTGTGGTTTGCAAAAGAGGAATTGAGTGGCAATCGTGTTCTGTCTCTAGTCTACTTTCAGCATGCATCTCCCATCCTGGGCGGATCTTCCCAACACCCTTTAATTGGTGCTCCCTTCATTGCAGCACTGTTTACAATAGCTAGAATCTGGAAAAAACCTGAGTGCCCAAGAACAAATGACTGGTTTAAGAAACTCTGGTACATCTACACAATGGAGTACTATGTAGCTGTTAGAAAGGATGAAGTCATGAAATTTACATACAAGTGGTACTACATGGAAAGTATCATGCTAAGCGAAATGAGTCAGAAAGAGAGGGACAGACATAGAAAGATTGCATTCATCTAGGGAACATAAAGTCTCAATAAATTGTTATCAAAAATTAAAAAAAATTAACACAGAAGGCTTAACTTGTAACATTTTAGTAATCGCTCATATATTTAATGTCTCCAAGGTGAGATACAACCATTTTCACTAATTTTCTAATAAATATTTTTCAATCATTCCATTAGCAATGTATTATTAACAAGCAATATAAAATAAACTATTATGAGCCTGGTATGGAGGGCAGCTTGAGGGACTGCTGGGAAAATTGGAGATAATAGCAGAGAGAAGGTGACAGTGGTGGTGTAATTGGTGATAGAATACTGAATGTTGAATATCTGTAATAAATCATCATGAACAACTTTGTAAACTCTAGTATTTAAATAAAGTGTAGGAGAAAAGAAAAAAAGAAAGTAAGCACTGTAAGATGCCTTAGATCTTCCAAACAACTGCAAACCATACTAGGACATATACTGTGGAGAAACTCTTGAACATATGGCTATTGAAGGCTTTATCTTCCTTCTGGAGATAGTAGGCCTCCAAGTGATCCAGAACCAGGAGTAACCCTGAGCACCAGTGGGTATGGCAAAAAAAAATCCCTTTATATTCCATTATCTGCCACTACATATGTTATGCTGTTTATTTTTATAAAGCCGTTCACAATAATTACATTTAATATTCCAACACCAATCCCACCACAATTACACCTTTCCACCACCATATTACAAATGATTCCACCCTGTCCCCCAAAGTCTGCCCCCAAAGCAGAATCTAAATAATTTTGTATTGCTTGTTATGAACAATTGGCTAAAAATAATTTGAAGAGTTTCCTTAGAGGAAAGTGTGTGAAGATTGTTTTTTTTCACCCTGGAGCCATTAAACCATTGCCTTGGTACATTAGTGGTGTAGAATATTGGACGTCATGCGGCTGTATTTGTGGCCATGTACTCCAGGACTTCAGCCGTGAGCATGGCAGTGATTGAGTGCTGGAGGTTTTTGGCTGCTTGGAGCTCTACTGGGGTGAGTGGGGGGCAGGTGAGTCCCCCTCCAAGTGGTCCCAGATGAGACAGCCTGGAGCAGGGCCTGGAGACATCTTTGCAGCATTACATTTTGCTGATATTTTTGTAAAACTGTATAGCTCTAGGGCCCGAAAGAGAGCACAAGAGGTAAAGCACATGCCCTCCTTGTTGCCTACCAATGTGCAAATCAATGACACCACATAATGTACCCTCAGTACTTACAGTGGCCTCTTCACTAGAAACAGAGCCAAGAGTGGCCCCTAAGCAGCACAAGCTCTGGCTCCAAAACCCACACACTCCGACTCCTTCCAAAAATTGTAGAAGCAACAAAAACTACTTAATTTCCATTATAAAGTGGTTGTACACTGAGACAATTAAGTCAATTTTTAGGTTTTGTTTATTTTATGGAAATTGATATTAAAAGTATTAAATATTATTTTGATTAGTAAATAAAAATTATTTCCCATGATATTTGATATTTGCTCGAGCGGGCCCAGTAACGTCTCCATTGGAGACTTTGTTGTTACTGTGTTTGGCATATCAAATACTCTCGGTAGCTTGCCAGGCTCTCGGAGAGGGGTGGAGGAATCGAACTCGGGTTGGCCATGTTAGCCGCTTGTAAGGCAAACGCCCTACCGCTGTGCTATACCAAACACAGTAACAAATGTCACAATGGAGACGTTACTGGGCCCACTCGAGCAAATACAACAATGGGAGGATAGTGACAGTGACAGTGACAGATATTCCTTGCATATAATCATGATATAAGATTAATATTTTATTTCTGGTTCACAAGAAGAAGGCCTTGGCACTCCTGAGCCTGGCTTGGGAGACCAAAAAATAAATAAAACTGATTAACAATGAAACATCATAAATATTAAAATGAGAAAGTATCTCATTTCACTGAAAGGATGTGGAGTAACTGGGAACTCCCAAACACTACTCATGGGAACCCAAAATGCAACAGCCACATGAGAAAATAATTGGACAGACTGTAAAGTTAAACATTAAGCTAAGAAATTATTTTTAAGAAATAAAATATATTATCCTTATCACTCATAAAGTACCAGGCAAGGTAGCAAATTTGAAATAGTATTGTTCCACGTGTAGATATGCTTGAAAAAATTGTACTTAAAATCTGCTTATTTTTTATTGTAATTCAAAATATAATTAAAATTGCGCAAATTCAAGATGCGGCACCTCAAAGGAAACAATGAGCAGAACACAAAAACAGCCCACAGATTGGGAGAAATTATTTGGTTCATTGAACCAACAGAGGGTTAATATGGAAGATATATAAAGCACTGGTGAAACTATATCAAAATAATAATTAAAAAACCACCCCAGGGGAGGAGCGATAGTACAGCAGGTAGGGCATTTGCCTGGCATATGGCTGACCTAGTTTGGATCCCCAGTATTCCATATGGTCCAGAGTACCACTAGGATTGATTCCTGAGTGCAGAGTCAGTAAACCCTGAGCATCACCGGGTATGACCCAAAAGCAAAAAGAGAAAAATAACACTCAAACCTACCAAAACATGGGGAGAAGTGATAAACAGGAGCTTCTAAGAAAAAAGCTAATGGCAAAATAAGCATATGAAAACAAGCATATGAAAAGAAGGTAACTATCACTAATAATCAGGGAAATGCAAATCAAAACAATAATAAGATCTCACCACACATCACAGAGACACATCAAAAAGAACAGCCATCAGTGTTAGAGAGGATGTGGGGAAATGTCAACTGGACAAGACTTTTGGAGGACAATGTGAACATTGCTCAAAATATTAGGAATTGAGCTTGACCCAGCAATTCCACTCCTCAGGATATACCCTAAAGGCCACAAAGCACAAATCAGAAAGGACATCTGTACTCCTATGCTCACTGCAGCACTATACACTATAGCTTAAGGAAACAATACAAATTCCCATGAACCGATGACTGGATAAAGAGACTATGGTAAATTTACACAATGGAATATAATGCAGCCTTACAAAAATATAAAGTCGAGCAATTTGCTGCACCATGAATGGATATGGAGAGTATCAAGTTGAGTGAAATCAGCCAGAGGAAAAGAACAGACTTAGATTGATCTCTCACATATGAGATATAAAGAAGCCTAGTAAGAAAATACCAAATGCCCAGTAGTAATAAAAATGAAGAGCGGGAAAACTGCTTTTCAGTAGGAAGCTTGGCACTGGGGCAGAGATAAGGGAAATAAGTTAGGGAAGGGAACACTAAAACAATAGAGGAGGTGAAAAGTGCCTGATGGGAGGGAAATGGTTATCAACTGTAGAGGATAGTGGGCTAGAGGATAGAAGGAATTGTTGGAACAATATACACCTGAAACTCCATCATAAATATCTCTGTAATTTTATAATTCATGGTGATCCAATAAAAATAAATTAAAATTAATAAATACAAGAACAAACCAAAAATATTAAATCCTATTGAATTTAAGTAATTTTGTTTTGGTTTTTTTGTGTCACACCTGGTGATGCACAGGGGTTAGTTACTCCTGGCTCTGCACTCAGGTGGTGCTCAGGGGACCATATGGGATGCTGGGAATTGAACCTGGGTTGGCCGCGTGCCAGGCAAACGCCCTACCCACTGTGCTATTGCTCCATATATAATTATTTTAATATTCTTACCCCAAATAAGCTATAATCAGCCTGTAACTAACTGCACCAACATTGCCAAATGAGGTGGGTATTTTTGTTTTGTTTTGTTTTGTTTGTTCTTTCCCAAACAAGAATTTTTAGTTGCAATTAAAAAGCAAACATAACCAGAAATTTTTGGTAGATCACAGCATTCAGTACTTGAACTACTGACAAATCTATGAATCTTGAAAATCATAAGTAAATGGTTTTACCTCTCTCAATTTCTCTCGTTCCCGTTCCCTCTCAGCAATACGTTTTCGTCTCTCTTCTTCTTCCTTAAGAGCATTCTGTGTTTCTGTTCTTAGTTTATCATCCTTAATAATCTTTCTAATTTTCTTTCTGCCTTTTCCAGGGGATTTAGAATCATCATTTTCATCTTCTTCCTCTTCCTCTTCATCCTCCTCCTCTTCTTTATCTTCTTCAGAATTACTCTATGGAATTTAAATTATCAGAGGTAAATACTAAAATTGTCTATCTTAGTACTCTATTTCATATACCAATAATAAACACACCAAAATGATAAAATTAACACGAAAATCTTTAAAAGTATATTTTACAATAAATAAAAGTATTTTAAAAAATAACCAGCAACAAAAACAAAAATTGACTAGACGAAACATTTTTTAAAAGAAACTATTAGAAGTTTGTTGTTCCTATTATTATGAGAGGAGTTTTGGGGACAATGATGGAAGTGCGTAATGAAATAATATATGCAGGAAACTATCATTAACAATACTGTAAATTATGGAGGTTAAATAAAAATGGGAGAATTTACTCATCTGTAAAAAGATTAAAAAAGCAATGAACGAATGAATCAAAAATGAACCCAAGACACTAAGACAAAAAATAGTGGTTACCAGAAGGGAAGGGGAGGGCTGAGTAAAACATATAAAAGAGGTCAAGGTTGGACCAGAGAGAATACTCATGTTTTTGACATGGGAAGCTAAGGTTTAATCCCCAGCACTCCAGGTTTGAGCAGAACACCTCCAGGAGTAAACCCTAATTATCAAACAAAGGAAAGAAAACAAAATCCCATAACCAAAGGAAAAACAAGTCAAAAAAGGAAGTCAGCATAAAAGAGGTTAGCTGAAGAATGGAAACCAGACTTTGTGGTAGTAAACACAGAATAGAATAAACAGATGTTCAATATAGTGTTTATACCTGAAATCTATAAGTTATAATAATGCTATGCCAATAAATTTTTTAAACAAAAGAAAATAACAAGTGTTATTAAGACTGCAAGAATGTGTAGAAATTGGAGACCTTTGGCCAAGATTTGACTCAAAGTGTTGAAACACATGGTTGCATAGAGATCCCCCCAAGTCCAATCTACAGCACAGCAAGTGTCTTCACCCCTTCACCTGCATCACAGAACCCCAAGCAGCACATAATAACCTGGTTTTATATTACAGTAGTGACACCCAAGTCAACTGAAAACTACTTGGGAGGCAGATCTACAAACACTGAAGACCCAGTGCATTGGAAAAACAGTGACACTTCTCAGAAAATTTAAACCAGGGTCAGAAATATAACTAAGCAGCTGTGCCACTGCCTTGCATGCATGGTGCCCTGTGTTCTAGTCCCAGTACCAAAGAAAGAAAAAAAAGTTAAGAATATAATCACTACACAGTCCACTTTTCCGATTACAGCCAAAAGAATCAAAATCATTGATTCAAGAAGGTATTTTTCCAGCAACATACTTAAAATAGCCAAAGGGAGAAACAATAAATACAACCTTCAATAAATGAACACAGGACATATATACAATGAAATACTATACAGTCTTAACAAAAGAAAAAAAGGGGGGAAAGAAGAAAAAAAAACTTTTTGGTACCTGGAGAAAATCTTTCCTATGCTGAAATTATTTTATAAAGGACTCCTTGTTTTTCCTTTTTTTTTGGGGGCGGGGAACCAGTACTCAGGGCTGACTCCTGGCTCTGCACTCAGGGATAAATCCTGACAGATGTGAAGAGAGATCAAACCCATAAGGAGATCAAACCCAGGTCAGCCAGATAAAGACAAGTGCCCTACCCATTTTACTATCATTTGGACCCTTAAGGAGTTCCTCTTCATCTCAAGTTTCAACTGTAGGCATTGTGAACACATTGTTCATAAAACTTGCAATTATAAATCCACCCAAACTCTAAGCCAAATGTCAAAGTGAAAAAGATATTCAGGAGTCAAGCAAGAGTACAGCAGGAAAGGCACTTTTCTGAGAAGCAAAAGACCCGGGTTTAATCTGTAGCACCCCATATGATCCCCTGAGCCTCAGCAGGATGATTCCCTGAGTGCAGAGGCAGGAGTAATGCCATCCATCATGGCCCAAAAACAAAACAAAACAAAGTATTCAACTAAGTTTATTATAATTTAATCACTGATTACTTTATTTCAGAGATTCTTTTAAACATTTACTAACCAGAATTTTAAAACAATTAACAAAGATATGATTTTAAAAAATTGGGTGTGCATAGGCAGAAGATATTTCAGTTAAAATGCTTCTCTCAAAGTGCAAGATCGTAAGTTCACTCTGCTGTAGTACCACTTGCACTGAATGCAATTCTGGCAGCTCTGCAGTTTGTGATACCTGGCACTATGAGTGATTTTTAACCAGACTGCAGCCAGGAGAGAGCATCAAAACTGAAGTAGAAGACCTCTGCTGAGTATCACTAAAAAATAATGTACAAGCACAAAGGCCAGGAAGTGCCCCTTGCAAACATCTGTGTGAGTATTACTGTGATCATTTCAAGCAGAATGTGTCTCAAGCACCAAAACTAAAGAGTTTCTTTTAAAAGACAAACTCTTGGATCAAAAACCTCATTATCAGACCTGAATCCATAAATTATATTGAGGAAACCATAGGGAATACTTCACAATAATGAATCTAGAGACATCTTTAGTAATTCAATGCCATTGGCAAAGCAATTGGGAACAAAGATAAACAAACAGAACCCATCAAATTGAGAGGCTTCTGCATTCAAATAGAAATAATAACCAGAATAAAGACATTTCACAGAGTGGGAAGAATATTTGCCTACCTATCACATGACAAAGGGTCAACATGAAGACATATAAAGCACTGGTAGCACTTTACAAAAGAAAAATAAAACAATATCATCCAAAAATGGGGATAAGAAAGGCTAGAGAGATAGTACAACGGGTAGGGTACATGCATTACATGCAGCTGAACCAGGTTCAATTCAGGACACCCTATACTGTCCCCCAAGCACCACCAAGAATAATTCCTTAGTGCACAGCAAGGAGGGAAAAAAAACTGTGTACCACCAGATGCGGCCACAAAACAAAAAGAAAAAAACTGGGGCTAAAGGTGAATAGAAACTTTCTCAAAGACATACAAATGGCCAAAAGGTATATGAAAAATGTGCTATACCACTAGTCATCAGGGAACTACAAATCTAAACAATGAGATGCCATCTCACATAAATGAGACCAGCATACACCACAAAGAACAACCAGTGTTGGCATAAATGTGGGGGGAAAGCCACCCTCATTCATTGTTCCTGGGAATGCTGACTGGCCCAGTATTTTTGGAGAACAGCATGGACAGTTCTCAAAAAGATAGGAAATATGCTTCCATACAACTCAGCAATTCCATTCTTGGCATCTACCCCTAGGACCTAAAAACTCTATTTAGAAAAGACATCTGCACTTTTATGATCACTGCAGCACTATTCACAATAGCCAAAATCTGGAAACAGCCCAAATGTCCAAAAACAGATGACTGGATAAAGAAACAATGGTACATATACACAATAGAATAAATATTTAGCAATAAGAAAAGATGAATCATGCAATTTTGCTGCTACCTGGATGACTCTGGAGAGTATCATGCTGAGTGAAGTTAGAAGAGGGAGAGACACAGAATGATCTACAGAATAACAGATACACAAAGGAAACAAAAACTGAAAACTGGTTTCTAGCAGGAAGCTTACCACAGGAAAAAATGGGCGTGGGAATGGGAAGAGACATTGAGATAATGATAAAAGGAAACAAACTCTGGTGGAGGGTGTAGTAATGGAAGTTTTATGTATGAAACCATTACCCATAACAGTTTGTTAGCCATGGTGCTTAAAATAATATTCTTTCAAAAGTTTGACTCTGTAGCAAGCACATGTGTGACCTGCTTTGAACACTATGCCTTAGTGTGCAAGCACTACAATCTGATATGTGACGAAAGTTGAGGATTATCAGCAGTAAAATGTGTAGCACCACAGCCAAGGTGTGTGACATCTGGTAAAATTTTAAAATAAGAACAAATATTTTTTGAATATACCAATTGTAATCTTTTTTTTCTTAAATTAAAGAACAAATATTTCAGACTACATTTACATGAGGTAGTTTAAAAGGGCAACTTTACAGACACTGAAATTAGACTAGAGGGTGAATAAAAGTTGGAAATGAGGAATTATTGTTTAATGCATAGTTTCCAATTGTCTGTGTAATTAAGAGCACTAAATTTTACACTTAAAATGGCTACAAAGCTCATTTTTAAAAAATAGAATAAACTTTTAAAAACGTCCCCCAGCAGGGATCAAAGAGAGTCAGGTACATATGTGGTGCTCAGGAATGACAGAGCTAAGTAGCCAAAGCAAATAGTCAACAACACTGAAATCATGAGACAAAATCTTAACAATTGAACTTACAAAAGTGTCTGTCAAGATGGCAAACTGGATAGAGGTGGGGATATGGGAGAGAAACTGGGAAGGTTGGTGAAGGGAAGTTGACAGTGGTGGTGGGATTGGTGCTGGAATATTGTATGTCTAAAAGTATCAATAACATTTCTAAACTGTCTAAACTATGAATAACATTGTAAATCAGGGTACATTAAAATTTTTAAAATCAAAAATTAAAATTCCCCCAAATGGAAAAGTGGGAAAAGAATAAAACATTCTTGGGCCAAAGCAAATACAGAACAAGTAGGGTATTTTCTTTGCATGCAGCTGAACCAGGTTCAATCATCCCATATGGTCCCTCAAGAACTGACAGAAGTAATTACTGAGTGCAAAGCCAGGAGTAACCCCTGAGCATTGCCAGGTGTGCCCCCTCAAAAAAAACATATTTTATAACATTTGTATTTTACATAATACTGCTGATTTATAAGAAACTCAAACAGGGGGAGCTGAAGTACAATAGGTAGGGCACTTGCCTTGCATACACTCAACCTGGGTTGTATCTCCGGGTATGATAGCACTGCCAGGAATGATCCTGAACTCAGAGCCAGAAGTATCACCTGAACACAGCCAGGTGTGACCCAAAAACAAAAAAAAGCAATGAAAGAAAGAAAATACACTTAAATGGGCTAACTTCACTACAAGATGAAATTTCTTCACATGAACTCATTTCGGGTGAAAGGTTTTATGTCATAAAAATAGAAGATTATAGAACTGGACAACAGTACAATGGGTAGGGCATTTGCCTTGCTTGCACCCAAACTGGGTTCAATTCCAAGACCCCAATATGACAATTGAGATCAGAGACAGTATTTAGCCCTGAGCACAGCTGGGTATAGCCCAAAAACCAAAAACGAAAAAAAAATATTTCAAATAAATTCTATAGTCCCAAGAATGTAACTAATGAACTGGAACAGCTTAAAAATTACATTAAAGAAAAAAACTGGCAAAATATCAACATAAATAATTCTGCACATTATTTATACATTAAATCAATCTGTCCATAAGCATAGAATTTAAGTCTGAAGAATTCAATTAATGAATAGAATGCAGAGAAGGTATACCATTTATTACAGTATACTCTATTAATTATCATTCACGCTAAATGCCTTTACCTTGTTTTCACTGGATGAATCTTCTTGGACCTTAATTCGTCGCCTTTTCTTTTTCTGTTTATAACTCCGCTGATTTTCTTCTAACTCTGCTTTCTTTGCAGACCTAAAGAACATTTACAATGCAAAATGAGAGTGAGAGAGATAATACAGGGGTTAAGGTGCTTGTTTTGCACTGAGCCAAAACCAATTCAAATACCCAGCATCACATATAGTGACCAGCAACCTGACCACATCTTTAGGATTGGTCCTAAAAGGTAAAGGTAAAGGTAAAGGCCCTCCCATTGATCGTCGATTTGCTCGAGCGGGCCCAGTAACGTCTCCATTGGAGACTTTGTTGTTACTGTGTCTGGCATATCGAATACTCTCGGTAGCTTGCAGGGCTCTCTGAGAGGGGCAGAGGAATCGAACTCGGGTCGGCCATGTTGGCCGCTTGTAAGGCGAATGCCCTACCCGCTGTGCTATCGCTCCAGCCCAGGATTGGTCCTAAAATTTCCTTAAATTAATTATGTACTATTTCAGAAATGTGTTTTATATACATTCCTTAAAAAGATAAATGATTTCGAGTAGCACTGTAGCACTGTCCTTCCATTGTTCATCTATTTGCTCGAGCGGGCCCAGTAACGTCTCTGTTGTGAGACTTGTTATTACTGTATTTGGCATATCGAATATGTCACGGGTAGCTTGCCAGGCTCTGCCGTGCGGGCGATACACTCTCGGTAGCTTGCCAGGCTCTCCGAGAGGGGCGGAGGAATGGAACTCAGTTCGGCCAAGTTGGCCGCATGCAAGGCAAACACCCTACCGCTGTACTATCGCTCCAGCCCTAAAAAGAAAACAAAAAACAAAAAACAAAAAACAAAAAAACAAAAAAAAATTCACTACAGTAAAACAGGAAAATCCTCATTCCAATGATAAACAGTTTAAGTTACTTAGAGGAGGGAGAGGAGAAATTGTATACCAGGCTGGGTGCTTGCCATCTACACAGCCTATCCACAACCCCCGGCACTACAGAGTCCTATGAGCCTCTCCAAGAGAGATCCCTGAAAGTAGAGCAAGGAGTAAACCACTGCCACGTGTGGCCCAAGAATCAAAAATATATATATAAGTTACTCAACGGGGAGGTTTAGTAGCTGATTAACACTAAACTGAATGGAGGGATTTTCTTTTTTGATTCTTTGGTTTGGGCCCATACGGGATGCTGGGGGCAAGCGTCCTACCTACTAAAATAACATTCCAGTCCCGATGAAAGAACTCTAGATAAATGGCCAATATATACAAATTATTCATCACCTCTTTAAAATTTTTGTTCATATCAGGTCATTTTTTAAGTAACAATAACAAAAATATTAGTGAGAACAGTACTTCTGGTCTTAGAAACCATCAAAGTTACATTGATATATTAAATTTCTGGAAAAAGGACAGATCAATGAAAGGAAAAGTCAGACCATAAGCTTTAGATTTATGGTTAACTGATACTGCTATAATAGAAGGTGGTCATAAAGCATTCGAGGGGTGAAAAATAACAGTATTTTTATGGTAATGAGGCAATAGATGCTAGAGAAGTTGTATGGACCCCAATTATATACTAAATTTAAAAATGACTGTAAGTCTTCCTCCAAGTATCTATGTTCCAGGTAACATATGAAATACTCATTGTTTTACTGATACAAGAGTGAGAAAAAATGATTATGTAGCTATTTTGCTGAGACAATAAACTATCTTCTCTATGAGCTAGTTTTAAAATATGTACGATTAAGTCATAAAATTTAAAAACTTAAACAGAAAAATGTCTCTTTTACAAATTTGTTTTAAGGTAATATTCAGGCAAATACAAGAACATACATAGATGCACTATTATATATGCTTGTATACATGCATTTCCATGTGCATTACAAGTTTTACAATAAAATTTCTGTATGTCTGCAAATATTCTATGACAAAAGCATTTGTCAATAAAGAAAAACTACACATGGGCATTTAATGGAAGTTCATTTTGTTGAGGACACACAACTCTATATATACTTTTTGGGAAACAAGTTTATATATACGTTTAAAATAGTTTCAAATCAAAATATTTATCTTCACTTTATTAGTGACAGGAATCATTTTGCAAATAAATCATAGCATGGTGATCCAGATTAATTGCTTACACTGAAAAAAACCTTATATTTACCTTGTTCTAGGTCGCTGTTCATCTTCAGACTCACTAACTTCTTCACTAACTCCAGATTCCTGAAAATCAGAATCTTCAGAATCTTCACTGCTCACTTAAATTAAAAAAAATTGCTATTAAATACTTCCAACTAAGAAATGCAACTCATTAAATTTATCAATCACTTTACATTAAAATTTAAGTCTTGTAAGAATATCTCCAATATTAGCATTAACAGATAATGCATTATAAACATTAACCACTTTACGTTTTAAATGTTATTTACAAATATGTCTAAAATGCACTTAAATTATATTTATAAAACTAAAGTTCTACATTAAAATATAAGTATGAATTGTACATGAACTGACAAAATAAGAATTTACTTCTCAGCAAAATAATTTAGCAATTATCAAAGATAAATATACTATGATGTTGCTTAGCCACAAAACATACCTCCATAAAATTAAGAAGATAGAGACTGTATCACAATCTTCTCAGACCACAGTGCACTGAAATTAGAAGTAAATCACACACACAAACAGAAAACTAAATCAAACACCTGGAAATTAAACTGCTCACTATTGGACAACCAGTGGCTTAGAAAGGAAATCAAAGAAGAAATCAAAAGATTCCTCAAAAAGAACAAAACTGAGGACATGAGTTACCAAAACTTATGGAACACAGCAAAAGCTGTGTTAAGAGGAATGTTTATAGCTCTACAAGCATTCCTCAGGAAGGAGGAGCGAGCCCACATAAGTAACCTAACCTCACAGCTTAAGAGCTTGGAGAAGTACCAACTAAAGGAGCCCAACCCGAACAGGAGGAAGGAAATAATAAAACTCAGAGCAGAGAGATTAATGAGATGGAAACCCAAAAAAAAATCCAAAAAAATCAATGAAACCAAGAGATGGTTCTTCGAGAAAATTAACAATAATGATAAGCCTCTAGCAAAACTCATAAAGAAAGGGAGAGAGAAAACCCTAATAAACCAAATCAGAAATGAAAAAGGGGTCATTACAACAGAAACTACAGAAATTCAAAGGATCCTCAGGGAGTACTTTGAGAAGCTTTATGCCATGGAACACGAAAACCTCGAGGAAATGGATAAATTCCTAGATTCCTATAGTCTCCCAAGGCTGAATCAAGAAGACCTGGAATACGTGAAAAGACCTATCACCATCAAGGAAATCGAAACGGTAATGAAAAGTCTCCCCAAGCACAAAAGTCCTGGCCCAAATGGATTCACTAGTGAATTCTTCCAAATCATAAAAAGAAGACTTACTCCCACTCCTCTTTAAGCTTTACCACAAAATTGAAATATCAAAAACACTTCTGAACAGTTTCTATGAAGCAAATATCACCCTGCTACCAAAAGAAGACAGAGATACCACCAAGAAAATTATAGGTCAATATCCCTGATAAACATAGAGGCAAAGATCCTCAACAAATTATTAGCAAATAGAATCTACCAGCTCATCAAAAAGATCATACACCATGACAAAGTAAAGTAAAGTAAAGGCCCTCCCGTTGATCGTCGATTTGCTCGAGCGGGCCCAGTAACGTCTCCATTGGAGACTTTGTTGTTACTGTGTCTGGCATATCGAATACTCTCGGTAGCTTGCCGGGCTCTCCGAGAGGGGCAGAGGAATCGAACTCGGGTCGGCCATGTTGGCCGCTTGTAAGGCGAACGCCCTACCCGCTGTGCTATCGCACACCATGACAAAGTAGGATTCATTCCAGGGACACAAGGATGGTTTAACATGATCAACATTATCCATCATATCAACAAAAGAAAGGATAAAAACCATATGGTCACATCAATAGATGCAGAGAAAGCATTTGACAAGATCCAGCAACCATTTATGATGAAAACTCTCAGCAAAATAGGCATTGAAGGAACTTTCCTCAATATAGTCAAAGCCATCTACCACAAGCCCACGGCAAGTATCATTCTCAGTAGGGAAAAACTAAAAGCTTTCCTTCTAAGATCAGGCACAAGACAAGGATGCCCACTTTCGCCACTCCTATTCAATGTAGTACTGAAAGTCTTGGAAATTGCAGTTAGGCAAGACAAAGGTATCAAGGGAAAACAGGAAAGGAAGAGGTCAAACTATCACTATTTGCAGACCATATGATACTATACTTAGAAAACCCGAAAAATTCTACAGAAAAGCTCCTAGAAATAGGCTGGTTTAGTAAAGTGACAGACTACAAAATCAACACCCAAAAGCCCATGGCTTTCTTATATACAAAAACGAAAGAGAAGAAATAGATATTAAAAAAAACAATTCCCTTCACAATAGTACCTCAGAAAATCAAGTACCTTGGAATCAGCTTAACCAAAGAGGTGAAGGACCTAAACAAGGAAAAGTTACAAACACTACTTCAAGAAATAAAAGAAGACACTAGGAAATGGAGAAACATCCCCTGCTCATGGATAGGGAGAAGTAACATTATCAAAATGGCAATACTGCCCAAAGCACTACACAAATTCAATGTGGTCCCTATCAGGATACCCATGACATTTTTCATAGAAATAGACAAAACACTCCTGAAATTCATATGGAACAATCACGATCACCACCATCCTGTTGTTCGTCAATTGCCTCGAGCAGGCCCCAGTAACGTCTCTTTCATCCTAGCCCTGAGATTTTTTTTAAAAAGTGCCATATTCAAGGCTCTTTCAGGGTTAGGAGAATGAGACCTATCACTGTTACTGGTATTTGGCATACTGGGTACACCACGGGGAGTTTGCCAGACTCTGCCGTGTGGGCAGGTTATGTTCAGTGGGGAATATAATGTACAAAAATAAGAGACTAACACCCAAAAATAACTGAGATAAGTACCAGGAGGTTCACTCCATGGCTTGGAGGCCAGCCACACATGCTAGGGGAAAAGGCAGCTCAGATAGAGAAGTGCGCACCAAACAAAAGGTGTTGGGAGGAGCCTCCCAGTATGGGAGATGCATAGTAGACTAGAGCCCGAACATGATTGCCACTCAATACCTCCTTTGCAAACCATAGGACCCAAAAGGAGAGAGAAAACAAAAGGGAATACCCTGTCACAGGGATGGGGTGGGATGGGGGGGATGGAGGGGTGGGAGGGATACTGAGATCAGTGGTGGTGGAGAATGGGCACTGGTGGAAGGATGAGTATTCTATCATTGCATAACTGAAACCCAAGCACAAAAAATTGTAAGTCTACAACTGTACCACATGGTGTTTCACTAATAAAAAGGCCCTCCCGTTGATCGTCGATTTGCTCGAGCAGGCCCAGTAACGTCTCCATTGGAGACTTTGTTGTTACTGTGTCTGGCATATCGAATACTCTCGGCAGCTTGCCGGGCTCTCCGGAGGAATCGAACTCGGGTCGGCCATGTTGGCCGCGTGTAAGGCGAGAGCCCTACCCGCTGTGCTATCGCTTCACTAATAAAAAGTAAAAGGTAAAGGTAAAGGTAAAGGCCCTCCCGTTGATCGTCGATTTGCTCGAGCGGGCCCAGTAACGTCTCCATTGGAGACTTGGTTGTTACTGTGTCTGGCATATCGAATACTCTCGGTAGCTTGCCGGGCTCTCCGAGAGGGGCGGAGGAATCGAACTTGGGTCGGCCATGTTGGCCGCTTGTAAGGCGAACACCCTACCCGCTGTGCTATCGCTCCAGCCCTAATAAATAAAAAGTAAAAAAATAAAAATAAAATAAAAAGCTCAACAGAAGGGTTAAGACCCTTGCCTTGCTCATGGCTCAATGACACCAGTTCAATTCTTGGTACAAAACAGGGTCCCCCGAGCACCTTTAGGAATGAGCCCTGAATATAGATCCAGGACTAAGCCCTGACCACTTCCAAGTGTGGCCTTCGTCCACCTCTCGAAAGACAAATAAAAATGCGTGTGGAGGGATATGGTGCCGCAAGCAGGTCAACCTACAGGGTGAGTGCATCAGTATCCTGATGGTGCCTCCAGGCTTCCTGATACCCCAAAATTGCCACTGTGCCTTTGGCCAGACCCCAAAAACTTGGGAACAAATTTACCAAGAAATTAAATGGCCAAAAGCTAGGTATGTGGGAGCCACACCCAGAAATCACCTATGGCTCAGCTATAGAAGCTCATTTATTGGCCTTATTTCAGAGACCCATAGAAAGATCTCGAAAGAGATACAAAGCCACAGTTATTCTCAGACCCGCACATTGCTGAACAGACTGGGCTAGTCAGAGGGGGACAAGCTGGCCTGGTAGCCTGCCCAAGCAGAGCCTCAGCAGCTGCTTGCTTCCACAATCCAAAACCGCCACCATATCCCCAGCCTGACTCCACCGTCTCAGGAAGGACCTCATCAAGATAAAATCTGCTGAAAATTCTGGTATGCGGGTTTTGTGACTGAAATCTCCAGGCTTCCTCAGAGTTGGGGTGGGCTACCTCCCCGCACTTCCAAATACACATGGAAGCACTGGCAGTCACCCCCAGTGCCACCCTGTAAGTTCTACTACCAGCCTTGCTTCAGAGACCCCTAAATAAATCCCGAAAGAGATCAAAAGCTGTAGTTAAGCTTGGACCCATGCATGTCTGAACAGACAGGGATGAACTGGAGGGGAACGGGATGGCCTACGCCCACCCAAGCAGAGCCCCTGGCAGCCACTTACTTCCACAATCCAAAATCACCACCATACTCCTAGCTTGACTCGACCTTCTAAGGATGGACCTCACCAAGATATTATCTGCTGAAAATTTCGTAATGTGGATCTTAACGCACCAACAGCCCTGCCCCAGAGACACAGCAGCAAGTCCCGGAAGACACCACAGCACCAGAGATCTCTCCGGGCCCCATACCAAGCCAATCTCACGGGGTACCCCAGATGGAGCAGGTGCAGTCTCCCCACCTACTCCAGATGGAATCCTGATGATCAAGAGCTTCCACAACAAGTATGCAGGTTCCAGGAATAAATCCCTAGGCCACATGGTGGCAGAGGACCCGGGCTGTCCCTCCCCTGGTCCCCATCTGCCCAGCAGACTGGTTGTCATGCTCACAATTTGCCTCCAGGAGCCATCTTAGCGCACCAATAGCCCTGGCCCAGAGACTCCCAATAGATTCCCAAAATGGATTAATGCCATACAGAGATGTCT